CACATGACTCTTGAATAAATGAACTATCAGATACCTCCTAAAACATATTAGGTGGCTATAACATAATATTTTGTCCTCGACTATCAAGTTCCAACTTGTCTCTTAGCAACATGATACAGACTTTTTTGTTTAAAACAAAGCACAGAAATTGGTCACACACTTTGTCTTGCACAAATTGTGATCTTTAACTCTTTTGATAAGTATTCCATTTATTTTGGTCATAATCCCAAAAGAAACAATTTGTTCAAATTGTTCAGCCAAATACAATGTCATTTGGCAAAGCACTGTGGTCCTCCATAAAGCCTATTCTCTAGAGATAATTGTTTGCACATATCAGTAGTCCAACATCTACAACAACATGCTGATTTTGAAATGTGGGCACACAAGAGGCCCCACTGCATCCTTCTTCAGAGACCCTCAAGTTCACATCCTATAACCAGCAATGTCTGACAAGACACAGAAGCAGGTGAACCTCCCTGGGCTTAAACAAAGCCTCAAAAAAAAATTGCCAAAAAGCAGTATTTCTCCCTTTGTATTCATTTTAAAGCTGCTACCCTGTCAGTATTTAGCACAGTCAGATTGCATCACCACCCATTATGTGCTGCAGTCGTACCAAGCATGGTAAACCCAAGACAAACATCCTGTCCTAACCATGGACTCACTCTGCCCACAGTAACATCTGCTGACTTGTGCTGCACTGTGTCATCCACAGAAGAGACAAGTATCCCCAGACGTTCTCCAAAGCATAATTGTCCAGTAATGCCATCATTTGGTAGGCATACTCTTAACTGCCTACTTAAAAGACCCTAAGCTGAGACATTTTAACACTGTTTTAAAGCGAAGCACAACTGTCACACTACTGGGTCAAGATGATCTTCCCTGCATTAACAATTTTGTTAAGGTACTGAAAAAGGTGAGCATGAAGTGTGCAGGAAAAAACACCCTTCCGTGATCTCAAATAGCAGCACAGCTTATTCTGGATTTTAGAGATTTCAGGTTATTCTGTGTTTACAATAAACGGTTCTTGCAGAACTGCTCACGGAGGTGCAGTCTCTCACAACAAGCGTGGCCTTGTGCTAAAAGCCTGAAGCCTTCAGAAGGGGTATTTTTTCCCTCCTGTACTGAGTCCTAAACCCATAAAAGAACCCCATCCCCACCACAGTTGCTCTTCAGCACTTCTGAAACACAGTATCGTTCCTATGGCTACTGTAGGGGGAATTGTTCCCAGGGGTTGTTTCTCCTGCTGGTGCTGCCGGGTCGGACAGGAAGGCTGGCTAATGCCCCTCTGCCGGTCGTTCCCAGGGGCCCTCACCTTGGCCCTGGCCCTGTCCTGCTGTACTCCCCTGCCCAGCCAGAGAGCTTCCTGGGGCTGGAGGAAGCCTGTTGATCTCAAATATGTGCTTCAGCTAATTGCCTTTCCTGTGTGGGCTGTGGGAATGGAAGCCGCTGGTGCGGCACCTGCAAGCAGCCAGCCATGGAAGGGAACGGCCTGGAGAAAAGGAGGGAAAAGGAAGCACCCAGCAGCTCCCACCACCCTGGCTGCATCCGTCCCCTCCCTCCCGTTTCCTCACATGAAATACTGGACGGCATATTTTACTGATTTGTTAAAATATTTTGAAAGGCTCTTCCCCTTCCTCACTGAAGATATAGCCCTTCAGTTTTGCAATGTATTTCAGTATTTTTTATAAAATGTTTATTTAGTGTTAATAAGCAGCTTGCTATACTGCTTTCCCAAAACTGATTTTTATACAGTAATTCTATTTCAAGGAATCCTTTCAGTCTTGTTGGAAGAATTTTATAAAATTCATCAGAAGGGTGTAAAAGAGGCACAAGCTTCACCATATTTTTTTTTTTTCTGGTTTCTGGCAACAAGTAAAAATGTGTCTTAAACTGGAGACTCTGGGATATCTGTTTTACAGTCTTCATATTCTCTCCATTTCTCATAATAAAATTTGTTACTATGACAAAAAAAATTCCACTAAAAATTATAAACTGTTCTAGTTATTCAACTGTTCCATTACCCAGCCATCAAGATTTTAGCTTCAACATATTTTTGGAAGTACTGAACAAAGATAACTTGGGTACATTTTTAGACAAGCCTATTTACTTTTGCATTTTTACAACAGTCTATTTGACATTACAAGAAACCCTTGACAGACCATAGCCAGAGTCCTAAGGTAAGCAGCAAAAAAATTGATCTTTATCTATAAATATGGAGACAACTGGTTCTTGTACTGAAATGTCTCTTTATATTGATTTCAGATAAGAGGGTAGAACAGACCAAGAAAAACAATTTGACTAAATTGACCCACTGAACATTCAACTGAGCCTGTCTAAACCAATGTAATTATCAATTTAGACATGATTCTACTATCATATCTGACCATTACTTTAAACAGTAAAAATGAAAAAGGAATTTTAGGAATTTGGAAGTCAAAAGACAGACTACAGACATCAACAAATTTGAACTGATCTCTAAAGTTAAAGAATTAAAACTTAAATAACTTAAATAACTGACACTACCTATGTATACAAGAGAAGTATCTCATTGAAAGACAGGAATCAGTCATTTTAATATTTGAAGAATAAACTATTTAAAAGAAAGGGCGTTATTTAAGCAAGGGAGATTAAAAATACAAGTATCGGCCAGAATGTGAAACACAATATTTTGTGGGAACTAAATGAGTAACTGAGGGGAACATGAAAACAATATCATTTCAGTAAAAGCAACTTTGTAAAACAGATTTTTAAAAAGATATAAAAATCTAACAGTATAGGTGAAGCCTAAGGTGAGGAACTAGTCCATTTTTTAATCTCAATCTCATTTTTAAAGCAATTATACTCAATATTCCTGTATACATGCCTCTCTGTCTGTAGGCACCTTTCTGTGTCTCAAAAAAGGCAACTTAAACACCTGACCAAAGGCAGCAGAGGTTTCCAAGAGATTTGCTGCTATAGCAGGTCCTGGCTGAAGCGCTGCCCGTGGCCTTTGGCCACCCCAGAGGTGAGAGGAACAGCATCACTCCAGGTACACGGAGCAGCCACCCGGGCAGCCACACCAGTGGCCTGGACGAGGGTGTGGTGACCCACACGAGCTGCAGAGCATAAGGGCCCCTGTGCAGCCAGCGGGAGAAACATTGGTGGAGGTCAGGAACAGGAGTGAAGTACCCCAGTAGGGAAGGTGAAATGAAAAAAAAAAAGAATCACAGAATATGCTGAGCTGGAAGGGACCCACAAGGATCAAGTCCAACCCTTAGCCCTGCACAGGACCATCTCCAAGAGTCTCACCATGTGCCCAAGTGTATTGTCCAAATGCTTCTTGAAACACATTCTGTCAGGCTTGGTGCTCTGACCACTTCCCTGGGGAGTCTGTTCCAGTGCCCAACCATCCTCTGGGGAAAGAACCTTTTCCTAATATCCAATGTGAACCTCCCTCAACACAATTTCAGGCCATTCCCTCATGTCCTGTCACTGGTCACCACAGATAAGAGATCAGTGTCTGCCCCTCCTCTTCCCCTCACGAGGAAGTTGTAACTGCAATGAGTTACAACCTCTGTCTCCTCTTCTCCAGGCTGTACAGACAGTGGGTTAGGGTAATGTTTGGATTCTGTACCATGTACTTGCACAGAGCAATGGGAATTAGAGGGTCAGCAGGCCTGTAGGGAATCTCCCTTGCTATTTAGTAAATACTTTTAATTCTCTAAAAAGCCATGGTAACCTTGTAATGACCTTATTGAGCCAAAATCCTTGTGAGTGTTTTGTAACATTATAATTTCTAAATTGCTACTCAGTCTTACAGATTTTAAAAGATGCAAAAGGCTGCATTTCTACAGGTAGATTTACATTATGTGTTGTTCTGAAGATGAAATAAGGTCTTCTAGGTAATACACAAACTGAGTATTCAGAAGTGTAAACAGGAATTCAGGAGAGGAGAGACTGCTTACCTCTTTTAGGAATTTACACTGTAATCTTTAGCAAATCACTTAATCTTTCTATGCCTCCATTCCCCATACATAAAACAGGGGCAATACTTGCTGTAAAGGATAAAAGCTGTCACATGCCTTTTTAAAAACTGTCATTTAAAAACCTCTACTTAAACAGTCAAAACCATTTCTTGCAAATACTAAGGAAAAGATCAATTTTCTCTGTTATCCAGAATAAAATTTCCCCAAGTATTCTCACTGGATACATTGCACGTGTTAAGCAGTTTGGTTTTTTCTTTAAGAAGTGATCATACCGAGTCCACAACATTACCATTTTTAAAATTGGCCTTATAAATTTACTACCAGTCTATAAAAGTTCAGTATGTTTTTACTACATTATCCTGACAGAGACAACAACACAACATAGGCAACAAGAATCACAGACCTTTTGACTTTGAGCCTTTTTTGGGTGTTAAGATGCACTTAAATCAGATAATTGATTCCAACTGTGGAATTAAACGTATCAGTGGAAAAGATCTGAAAGACCTCACAAAAAGGTCCGATAGCTAACAGATGATGCCAGCCCGACAGCGTAGTGACAATCCATCACACATGGATATGCGTTTGGATCTTGCACTGAAGCCTGAGCTGTTGAATCACAGAGGCTGGAAAACTGTCAAAGGCGTAGCACTGCTCTCCCAAAGAGGGCATGGAGCACAGCAAAAGGACTCTTGGCATCATTCTCAGGGGAATATTTTGTCTCATGCAAGGACTGGCTCCAACAAGTTCTGAAGGAAGCTTTGCTCAGGCCTTCTCGGCAGGGGAAATATTTTATGACACGGTGCCTTTGATGGGACTCTGGGTAGGAGTTTAGCAGATGCCTGAGGTGGCTGCATACCTAACCAAAGGTGGATGGGGAATGTGTGACTACATCTCTGGGTAAGAAAAGAATAAACAAGAGCAATTAACATGAGAAAGAACATGGACAAAATTTCTGTGAAAAGAATAAATAAGGTAGAGACAGCAGAACTTGTGTATGATCCTATCTTTTCCTTAGAAAATGAGAAAAAAAAGATCTTCCAAGTTTAAGTATCTTTATTTTCTCACCTGACAGTATTTGAGCTGTGAGCTTGAAAAAGTAATTTCATATTAAAAGAGAGATTTTACAACTCTGAAATTAACATCATAAAACTCAGATCACGAATTACATTTACTTTATTATTACATGCATTTTAGACAGTGATTCATATTGTTTATTTGCAGAAGTAGTCATTCTCAATGTACAAGTAATTGCTGTTACAGTGAAACTCATTAGCATGCACTGCACACAATTGTGTGCAAAGTTATTGTTTTCAGTTAGAAAATTTTAAGGTAATGATTTCTAAATTGATATTATAGACTTTAATTTTGGTTTTATGAAGACATTGCATAGTTGATGCTTAGCTTCTCCTGAAAGACTGGAATGTGGTACCAGTATTGTTGAAGCAGATCAAGTGACAGTAGCAAACAAGAAGATTTGAAGAAGAGGCATAACTTTCAGGGTTGAAAGATCAGCAAGTACAGCCTAGGAGGAAAACCAAAAAGGCTTGTTAAACTTGACATTTGAATCAAATTTCCTTAAAGCAAGTTAAGAAGTCAGAAAAAGATTCAAATACTGACTTTAATATTGTCAATTATTTGATTTGGACCTGGCTAGAAACAAATTATATTGGTTTATGTTTGCACTTTATTGCATTATTTTTCATTCTAACATTTCAAAGAAAAAGCATATGTTTACATATATAACCCAAGTAACTTTATTTTAGCCTTTAGCCTTACTTCAAATATACATGGCATCATGGGTGAACAAGGGGTCTAACATTTCAACTTGCTTCTAAAAATAATTGGGAATTAAGAATCCTTATCCTGTGGCTTGGCTAGTACTTGTGAAGTAAGTCCAATGTAATATCGCAAATAGTTAATGTCTTCTCATGAATTATGTTTTAAAAAAACCCAAAGAAAGTGATCACAAACTCTCAAAGTTTGGAAAGAATCAATCACTATATTTTTGGGAAAAAGAAAAAAAAAAGAAAACAACAAAAAAAACCCCCAAACCAACAAATTACGAAAAAAATTATAATCTTCATCTTAATGACTTATTTTCCTTCATTTCCCATGACCATATGCACAGCAAAATGTCAGATTCATAGTGACAAAGTAATCTTGTACAACTCCATTAAAATGTGCTGAGGAAAAAGGTACAAACCCCTACAATATTTCAAAAACAATATAGCCCACAAACACAGATTATATACCGAAACAGAAGAAAAATCTTATTGTACAAAATAATTTTATAACACTGCATTTTTGTAGGAAATATCCTTTATTTCCTTTTACTCCAGAAAAGCAGCATTATGTACTGCATGTTCACAATTTCCTTACTTTGTATCTAAGGTAAGAATTTAGACAGAAAGATTTGCACTATGTATCATGTGCCACGTGAAGCTTAAGTTACTCCTATTGGCAAAGCATCAAAAACTATTTCAATCTCCTCTAACTGAAACTTATCCTTACTTCAGCTGCAGCCAGTGACGTCACCTCCATCAGGTTGACTGCTCGGAAAGCAAACACAGCAGCTGCCAGGACTGAAAGAAAATGCCCAATATTTAAGTTCCTGACCTGTTAATTAGTGGTTAGAATTAATCTTGATGTAAAATACCAATTTTCACTCTCTCAGATTAATCATTTTGATTCTGAAGAATAACGTAAAACAAGCAGCTGCGTTTGAGCTTCTTTGGCCCCTTTTAAACAGACAGAAAAAACACAACATTCCTTCAGATTAGTCTGAGTGAAAATGCCTGAGTTTAAGATGACTAGCTTTTGATTAAAAGGACAAGCTGTCTTATGCATACAAATGGAACCAAAACCTTTGCTCTTCTATTCAACTCCTTCATATTTAAAAACAGACCCCACTGAAGATACATGTCTTCTTTAAAACCCCCATCTTAAACCTTCTTGAATATGATAGCATTATTTAAGTACAAAACTCTCAAAGTCTCCTAAAAGATGCCACTTCAAAGGAAGAAATCATCCAGCAAAATCAGAGGGACTCTCAGTCACTTAAAGTACTGAAGCAGTAGTTGCCATAAATGAATAACATGAATCTTGTATTTTGTGAAAGGTGATGAACTCATTTACCAAAACCACCGAAGAACATCCTATGTTCTGTTCAGAGACCAATAAGCATTTTTTAAGTGTTACTATAAGAAACAAAAAATTACCTCACATATTTTTAGTTAGAGATGTAGTATTTATGCAATTCTAGTTTTCTAGAAGTATGTTCTTTGACATGCATGTAATCTGCTTTCAGTATTCAAAGAGCTTTTTTCTTCTTGTCACAAAATACATTGAAGCTAATGTGTATCTGCCTCACATTAACCCAGATTTAAAATGTTTTGCAAAAATAATTCTATTACCAGCAAGAATTTCGAGAGAATTGTATCCCAGGATTCTGTCCCACAGAAGCAAGAGCTGATCTGTAGCTAAATAACCAGAAAATGCTCGTACCATCCATTTAAATGAAATTCGTAGCCTGCAAACAAGAGATAAACAACAGTTATTATATTTCTGCCTCCCATAATGATCAGAAAAATCCTCTATAAATTAAAAACATTTCATTATCCTCTTGCATTTCTCTTCCAGGAAGAACAGCCATTTTTCTTGCTGCATTAATAATCAATATTTTAATTTGCAACAGCCATCATAAAGCTATTTAGCACCTCAGTTGATAAAGTGCTACTATCTTTCCCATTATCATTCTGATCAAACAATCACATTAGAGTGATCCTCAGCTATTATCACCCTCAATGTTTAATCCTCTGCTATTATGCTATTAAAATGGATACCAATTATGGCAAAGAGGGTTTTCAGGTTCTATTGCACTTGGTGCCATGAGTTCACTCTCCAATGACAGCCTCTTGCTCTCTGGTACCTTCTCCTGTAACTAACACATCTCTGTGTCTTCTGTCCCCTAGGAAATAAGTCATTTAGTTCCATCAGATCTGACATGAATTACTGAAACTTAGCTGAATAATGCAGCATTTGTCGTACAGCAATTCTCCTCTCTTTTTCAAAGAACATACAGAAGAAATGCACAAAGCACAGATACGCAAAGGACTCCAGCTGACTTTCAAGAAAAAATGGCACGCTGATGTTCACACCTTTGAATAATTTCCCATAGATCTTAAATGAAATACTACAGAACAGCATTCAGAACAATCAATCTGCAACATTTGTAACAAGTCAGAAAGAAGTACTTACGGCTGAGCCCCAATTTCTCGGAGGTGATAAAAGAGCTGGGGCAGATGAGTTTGTAGAAGAGTCTCAAAAAGCAAACACAGTGATACAATGCCCTAAAGAAACAAGCATAAAGAAACAATACTAACACTCATCCTGTCAAATCCAAGAAAACAGTATCAGCAGGTAAATATGCATGAATTTTTAATTCAAACAATAGAATATTATTGATATAATATTCAGCTCAGGTACGAGAGGCCCAAGCAGCTCTAATACCTTCAGCCACTAAAGCTTTGCTCCTACAATTCTCTCTATGCATCAACAACATCATATGTTCTGATAGTCCCTTTCAGCTCCAAGTTACCTATCGTTTTGTATGTCAGGATATGAGTATTTAGTGGGTTATTATAATATGAACTACTTGAAATACTTCCACTCTGACGAAACAGACCTTAGTTGCACTAAAAAATAGAGCATGTGAGAAAAAGTATCTCCGATAACTAAAACCAAACAGCAGTGGGGATAACCACAAAAAAGTTAGATATAAACACATTTTAAATTTTCTTTTTAAAATTACAATATAAATGAACAGATTCTATTTGTCCTGTTTCCTTGCTATTAATGACGGAAAGCACAGTGCATAGCCTTGAAATGATATATCAAGGAAAGGATTTTCTTTGAACCAGGAAACATTTTCAAAAAGCAATATAACTCTTCTGCACTTTTTGAAGGAAAAAAATAATATTTACTAGGTTTTATTCTTCAGAAATTGAAGATAAGACAATTTCTTCAATTGTCTTACATTCAAGACAGCATGTCCTGATCATAAACATAACCCAATTATTTAAATTCATCTAGTAGTGCTAAAAAGCCATCACACCAAGATACTTTGCTAAACAAACACACATTAACTTGATATCAATGAAACAATATCTATATACATATATTTTAGTCCCTCTACCCTGACAATACTTCATTGTGCACTTACATGTCATCAATGAAAGCAACTGAGTATCCATTTTGTGACTCCTTTAACTGAGAAACCTATTACATTAAAACACTTGACTCTTATAAAAAAGACCCCACACACTCATAAAATGAGAACTTACTATTTTAATAAGGTACATGATATTCTATTGCAAAGAGTAACATGGACATAGAAAACAACAATATCCAAACTAGAATTACCTAATAATCTTCCCAAACACGCCTGAAATATTTTATTATATTTAAAAGAATACATTTCAATCGCATAGAAAACCATGCTACTGTATATTATTGTTCTGTAGTAAATAGAATATCAAGTGAGTGGGTTTAATTCCTAATGAACTTACAGAGGGATGAGAAGAGATGGAATGGAGTCTGAAGAAAAAACGCACATACATCTCACGGAATATCTGATACAATTTGGAAGGTTCATGGTACAGAAAACAAAGTGGAGCAACTGAAAGGATAAAAGAATTATAATTGACTCAACACTGTAAACTGCTAAAAGAGTTCAATGATTAAGTGCATGAAGTATGAGGAAAAACCAAATAATTTATAGTAGCACAATTTACAAAAACAATACTAAACCAGTTATTGAGAAGACTGTTATAGAATATTTCTATCGTTTAATGTAAAAAGTAAAGAAAAGGAGTGTGATACATTCTAGGTAGTAGTTATATATATTTCAAGAATCTAAACTAATAAGAACTGCTTACTACAGTGCTGGCTTCTCTGCGGTGTAGGGCAATAGGATGTTGAACAGTGCAAGTTTTTGATTCAACTGCCTATAATTTCCAATGTGCCCAGGGGTTAGTGACCAGCTCCTTACTTCACTTGTATGACTGCTTGAAGACAGATGTTGTGAAAATGAAAATATTAAAAAACAGCTTTTGGTTGCCACAACAACATCCCGTAAGTATGACAAACTGATAGAGACCTGTTTATTTCTTACAAGATCTGTAAAGCATGGACATTGAGTGGTTTACTGTTTAGAACTCTTTTAGTAAAGCAGCAGCTCTCAAACTTTTGTTGTTTTGTAAAAGTCCAGCATATAGATAAATATGTTATATGTATATGCTGCACAAACATAACTGGTTCTGTCAGTGATACTCCATTCACTCAATGCGTTTTCAGAGACAGTTTTCCTTATACATTTTTGTGAACAGCCTTTTTATCTGTTCACTCTTCATGCTGATTGTTTCACTTTACAGGTGCATTCATTTTGGATGACAGCTTACATTTTAACACACTCATAGTCTCTATCTTTACATTCACCTTCCCTTCCAGTTTTTTTTACAGAGGCTGGGGATATGGATGCATTTGTCTGCAGATGTATGTATACATATGCACATAGATATAGGTACATTTATACATACATATATATATGGATATATGCAGGTGTGAATTTATTTTCATATCTATATATCAGAGAAGGTGGCTTAATGAAAAAAATGGTGTCTGTGTATGAGAGACGGGGTGCTACGGTAGGGTGAGATGTTCACAGAAATTGTATTTACGTAGAGGTAAGAAAAGCAGAGGGTGTTACCAGTGTTTATGTTTTTAATGATCGAAGATGGAGGTGGAAGACTTGGCAGTGTGCATATGTACACAAAGGCCAGGAGGGTAACAGAACAGCCTCTGACAGTTGGCACCCCAAAAACGTATGCATGCAAACAGGAAAAAATGTACAGGATTTACATAAAGACCCAGATACTTCCTCATAAAGCAGCACAGCATGGAATACAGAGGATGCTGTGCTTGGTCCCAGCCACTGTACCCACAGGCTGGAGTTATACTGTGTTTCTGCTGCCTTGCTTTTCAGCCTGCCTCCTTCTCACAACCAGCATATTCTGAGCCCTTGTAAAGAGCAAGAATAGGAGGGAGGGAGGAAAATTTGGGAGATGTTGTTCTCAAGGGCAGAGTCAAATCCAAACATTTTGAAAAGCAGTTCACACAGAATAAGTGAAAGCCTCCTAGTAAGTCCCTAAGAAGGAGTTTGTAACTAAAGTGTTCGTTACTTCAAAGAGTTTAGATTCCCTAATCAGGTTCCAATTTGCATTTCATATTTAAATTGTGTGATTTCAATGATTGTGTGATCATTAAACTTATTATTAGTAAAATATACCATTTTAAAATATAGCATTTTAATTATAATCTTTGAACCTGCTTGTCCTGTGATACCACAAACACTTTTGATAAATCAAAGGAAAAAATAAAAAGCAAAGACAACTAGTCTCGCATTGTTGGAGTGCATCTGCAGTAGCTGCCTTGTAATATTTGAAACCAAGGACATTTTTCTGCTTTTTTCCTAAAAGTCTTGTTTCCTCTGTGCAGTAAAGTAGCAACCAGTCTATTACATAATGCTCTTTTAATGCCTCTTGTAGACAAATGGATACAGCAACAGGCCTTTCACATAATTCATGTTTTCACAAACTCTTTTCACAAGTAACTTGGTCTACCCGGAAGTGAAGCACAAAAAAGAGCACTTTGTTGACAAACTTTATCCCTCTATTCATGTACATTAAGATGCATAGCTTAGCTCAACTATTAGCTCTCAAATTAGGAACTCCCACACAGTAGAAAGCTGTAATATAAGTCAGTAGAAACAGTCTGGAATTTTTAAAATTATATACAACTGTCTATACACAAAGAAACATAAAAGCATACACACAAGTTTAAAAGTTGCAGAAAATTACTTACAGCTTTAAACTGCAATATGATAAAAAGCAATCCCGAGGTTTTAGTTTACGAGAGTCACACTTACCATACATAGAAAAGCCATGAAAAGGAATTACACCTACAAAACAAAAATATTTATTTTTTTGTTCTTTACAGTCCTTTTTCTCAATGCAAAAAGAATTTCCCCCCTCATGTTATTAAATTCCATTCTGCCCACCATAGGAATAAAATATTTCCTTGTTATGGCACCTGCATAGATCTCAAATCTTGTAAATATTTTAGTACAGTATCACTTACTTCAGTACAACCAGTTACATGCTTAAATACAAGCTATAGTTCCTAGAAAGCCAGGTAAAACTCAGTTTCCATGAAGTTGTTATGTAAAAGCTTTGCTGATATCAGAACCTAATTTCAGATAAATGACAACCCGTAAATGTCATTCAATGACCAGACCGGAGCAGGAAAAAAAAGGAGGCCAAGACCTCCAGTAATTCATGTAGCACTCAGATACAACATTTACAGTACTTGGCAGTTGCAGCACAACAGCTCTCTCCTCCCTTCCAGCTGCCTTTAGCTCCCATTCACTAGTTTTTACAGAGGACCAGTAAGGGGAAGCTGCTTTGACAAAAGGTAAGACAAGGCCAGAGACACAGATTTAAGACTGGTGACACAAGGCCTTGGAAACAAGAGCAAGGACCTTGAACTTGAAATACAAATGCAGTGCAAGACCAGGGAAAGGATTCAATAGACAGGGATTGAAATGGTCAAAGAGCTGAAAAAACAATTTTAATAACTGAAGTTACAACAACAGCAATGATATTAACTTAAAATTACATAGATTAGTTAAGTCTGATTTTTTAATATGAACACACATTTTGAAAGGACAAGGCTTTAGGGTGTGGTTTGTTGAGTACTGAAAAGCTGGGAGGTCAACCAATGTCAGCATGTATCATTCAGATCCTCCAAGTGGTGATACAAGACTGGAATATGAGCTGCTGCACCACAACTTGTTTTCCTTCTCCTTCCCCCACACGGACAAACCCTGTGACTACTAACACCAGGCTGAAATGTGGGTTTGGAGCAGCTTCAGTCCAGCTTACTCCTTGAAATTAATGAATTTCACAGAGTAACAATAAAACATAACATGTAAAAGAAAAAGAAGTTATCATGTATTTGAGAAAAAAAACTCTGTATCTTTACAGTCTACCACTAGAGGAGGCAATAGTATAATTCATACCATTTGGAGGATAGAAAACAGCATATTCTTCCATTCCAAGTTTTCCTGTGAACCATCAAACCACAAAGAAAATGTGATTAAGAAGTTAAAAGGTGTAAAGATTTAAATTAAAAAGGTAGATTCTAAGTTACAAGTATACAAATAATAACTAATTACATTATAGATGATATTGTCTAAAACAAGAAAGCAATGCAATAGGACAGGTACAGTGTCAGATATAAAACTGAAATGCAGCACTAATAAAGAAGGATGATGAAACAACAAAAACTACAAAATAGAGGAGGAAAATTTCGGCAATGCTGTTCCACAGAGATTTTATTTCTGTGTGTTTTAGGAGCTCTAAAGGTGTTTGCTGCAGACCTTGAAGACGGTGAAACTATGAGGGGATAAGGTTAAGGGCAGAGTGACCTAGGGACAGGAAAAGCATTTAAACAGATACAAGCACAGATAAAAAATATTCAAGGCTTCATTAAGCCTGCAACAGAGAGGAAGATGAATAGCACAGTTCTGATAGAACTAACAAATATTTAAGTAATCTGTTGGATACAAAAGACTAATTAAGTCAAGAAAATCACTGATCATATAGACTGACCATATAACTTCTTACCTTCCCTGAAAAATGAACACATTGTATTATTAAACCATATTTTATGTATAGAGCCTAATAATAAAAATACATTATTAAAAATTAGTAATTTATTTATAAGTATAAAGGTGTTATTATGCATAACTGTTATACTTAAAACATAATAATTTTAGTTTTAAAATGAGAAAATTAATCTAGAAAATTTAATCAGTTACATGAAAATTTACAGAATAATCAGAGATTCTTTAGATCTCTCTATATTCTGTTCACTCTACACAGAAGAATTTAGCATAGGGAACTTTTTTCAGGTTCAATGGAATCTGGACTTTGTTATTTTCCTGCAGCATGAATTGACTGAATTAAAATCAAAATTAACCTGCGAAACTCTTTATGTAAATAAAATCAAGTACTTTCCAATTATAGAAATGAGTTGTTTCATTAAACTAAAAAATATTTTCTCCTTTTCCTTTCAACAGTTTGCTTGCTGAGCAGTCAGGAGTTGTAATCTGGAGAGAGAGTATTTTTAGCAAGCACATCCTTTGGAAAATCAGCCAAAAATAGGACCTATAAGCCTTTCGGATTTACACCGCACAGCAACTTCGTTCCCCAGATTTGCCTAGGAATAAGTAGGATGTTCCCCATAGCTGTGTTTCTGGGCTGCCATGGCTCTGTGTCTGAAGTGAGATGTGGGACCCCCCGCTGTTCTGCTCTCGGGTGAGCCATTTGCTTATTTCCAGAAGGAGGTAAAAAAACCTCCCTAATTCAGTTAAAGAGAGAGAAAATACCCAACAGCAATAAGGAAGGAATTAAAAAATTAGGAAACAAATGTTACCTCTAGTGACATACGAGGCAGCAAGAGGAAAACTGTCAGCAGAGGTCCTGCTCAAAAAAAGTACTTGGAAATCACATTTGGCTCCATATAAAGGCACCAGGGACCAAGGAAGAAAATAGGAATGTAGAAGGTACATGGGAAAAAAAGTGACTTGATTACTATATGACTCAAGAATGAAGGAAAAATTAGGAACCTCTGGGTAAAGTCAAGGCAGGTGAGGCTCTAAGAAGCATGGAAACAGTCCAAATGTATGGCATTAAAAGCTGGCAGAGAACACAAGTGGGCTGAACCAATAAATTTAAGATTGTTGAGAAAAATAACGAGAACCTAAGCCAAAGAACATCTAAAAATCAGCTAACACTCTGAAGATGTCATGCTTTTTAAAAAAATCAGTTTTAAGTATGCTTGGTAAAGCTCTACTCTCCCACGCCTTTGAACAGAGCCCACAGTTCTCCAGCAACTTGTTCCTGCCTACAAATATCTGCTTTGGGAAGACAACATTCTAAAACCCAGAATGCTAGATTCCAGCTGCTAGATTTACTGAAGCTGCAGAGTACAACACTGTATATTTAAATTTCTGGCTCTAATAAAGACAGATGTCGTCAAGATTTTACCATACTGTCATAGTTGTGTGCTTCATTTCTTTGGTAAAACACTGCAGAATTATACACAGAAAAATGCAGTAGAAGAACAGCACTGCAATCTGGCCTTTATGTCAGCTTCTAAACTGTCATAATAGAATCTGTGCAGAAGTGAACTGGATACACTGACTTTTTATTAACATTCTTTTATATGCAGTCTACGAGGTGTAATGAACACAAAGCAAATTCACATAATGTATAACTGCAGCAGCCAACAAAAATCTACATGATCTCTTTTAAAACAACTCCTTTTACCTTGTATGTATGATTTGGGTGGAGTGGCACTACTGTAAGTAAAGTGCTCCAAGACAGATGTATCTCGGGAAAAACAGAGTAATACCTGTAAAAAAGACAGCATATGAAAATCAGCTGACTTACTGAATCAACAAAGCAATGTCAAACAAATTTAAGGACCTGCCCTAATTAGTACCTATTAGATGTTGTTGAAGAGAGCCAATTAGGTTGAAAGCTCTTGATCAACTATATTTTCCTGTTCAAATTTCCAGGCTCACTTTAACCTTGCTAGATTTTACCTTCACGTTCATTTGTTGTCAGTTAAATATTCTGCAACCCTCCTCTTTTCTCAGCAAACGTGTATCCCCTTCTGCCACAACACTGGTGACACTGTGTGTGTAACTGGCTGCTTTGATGTCCACTAGATTATTCTTCTATTCAGTTACTATGACCTGGGGAAGCCCTAGTAAGTGAGTAAATAGATGAACCATTTCCATTCTCGGATGTGTGGAGTTCCAGAAGGCTGATCATTTGCTTTCATTCCCAGGATCTTTACAGAATGCTTGCAGGAAATTCAGCTCTTTCAAAAAGTACAGATAATAATGTTCACCTTGTATCCCAAAGGTCTGAAATGCACCTTGTATTCTGTAAAGTATATTTGTGGAGTTTATTGTTTACACAAATGAAAAATCCAGTATTCACAGCAACTGAGTATAAAATTAAATAGTAAAAACCATTCATAGAAAAAAATAACAATAAGGAATCTCATCCTATCTGGAGTTGTAAAAAAATCTGATAATCAGTATTGTATTTTAAAATCTCCATATTTTCATGCAACCAAAAGATGCACTATCAAAAATGTACACGAGAGGGCAGACGTAAGGCAGACTTCAACTTGCCGCTGACTTTTTCACACCTGAATCCCTCTGCTCTTGAATGTTTTAAGAATTTGTTTGTTTCAACTGTAGTCAAGGTGTAAAAGGTGGAAAGGTTTTAGATGGTGTTTCACTACTTAATTAAGAATAAAAATGAGTGGATTTTTCCTTCCCAGTAATTACTGCAAAAATCTTCCAGATATCAGCATTTGTCAAAAGGAAACATGCAAAATTAAACATCTGAATATTACTGCTTTTTTAATTTTTTACGGAAAGCGGGTTGTATTTGGAGACTTTTTCCTTTTTTGAATCTCAAAACTATTTCTCAGATACAAACATCTTACAAAAAATAAATAGTTCCTTTATCTCAAACAGTTTAAGCTAAATATTATTTTGTGCAATACACAATCATTTTCATAGCTGCCAAAATATCTTTGACAATAACAATACACACGCAAATGTAATTCTCTGTGTATGTTAACTGAGGTGAAAGAAAAAGAAACTAATCTGAAAAGGACATAAATCATATTCACTCATAGGGGAAAGAATGTAACCTTAATTCAAGCCCCCCTTTTTTAGCAATACAGTGTCTAGTACCAGTATCTGGAAGTCTTTAAATTAAGACTATGCATCTTTATAAGAGGTAGACTCTAGCTCAAAGATAAGTTATGACTATATCTGAGAACTGCTGGGTGAGGTTCTTTGCATGTATTCATTTTGCAGGATGTAAGACTAAAGTATTCAAATTGATCCTCTGGCCTGAAATAATGAATTTACAAATACATTAATCTATGTGTTATTTTTGGTATTAAAAAAATGATAGTGCTAAACAAAACAATGATACAAACCCTGTTTCAAGTACAGAAACGTTTGGCAAACTATTGGATATTTATAATCAAAACTGAACAGAAAACAAATTAATTCAAATCACCAAGGGAAAGAAACAAAAAGCCAAAGCTTTTATCAAAAAGAAATTACTTTATTAAAAGTAACTGTATTTTATTTCAGTAATAAAAACATGTAAACTTTAGGGTAAAGAAAGCAAAAATATTAAAGGAAATAAATTACAACATTTCAGTGTTCTTCCTGAAAAAGACTGCATGCTGCTAAAGAGGTACCAATAATCCAATTCAATATCCTCATCATTATTTTAAGCCCAATTTTCTTATTTTGATAGATGTTTTATCTGCTAAGCAACACACAGACAAATGACACACTCTGCTCATTGACTTGGAAAACTTAAGAGTCATGGCAAAAACCCCCACAGAACCAGTGCAAAATGTATCTGGTTTAAACTAAAATTTTCATTACCTATTTTATTTAGCCAATATTTAATTCCAGTTATCATATTAAATCAATAAATAATATCCCATATCAGAATGACTCATACTGCAGAATTTTTCCAGGGGCTATAGAACAAAATAATTTGGCAGCAAAGCATTTGCAAATTAGGTTGGAAGAGGAAATTATCAAGGAAAATGGATAGCTTTCTACTAGAGAAGAACCTGAAGAATACCACGAAGTAGCAAACAAAACTAGAGCTACAAATAATTAGAAGTTTGAGATATTCTTTGCCTGAAAGCCTTGCAGTAAAACTAGCCACATAATTTTTTGAAGATTTTTGGTGATTCTCCTTCAAATTACTAAAGACAGTTTAGTCTCTTTTATGATTTTCACTCTGTAGTCATTCCTTTAGTTAATAAGAGTTATATAAAAAATTAAAACATTCAAATGTGCTATATACTGAGAATGATAAACAAAATCTATTTCTGATGGTCTTAAAAGATTATATGGTATACTAGTTCATACTCCTTCATAGTTTATAATTCTGTGTCCACTGGAACTGTCAGTTAATCACTAATTAATATGCCTTAATAGTCTATGTAACAAATGAACAAGGAATGAGATTTTCACATCCCATGATGAAGACACAGTGTCACAATAATGATTATCTTTGACCCTTAAACCAAGAAAAACTTCTACATGTAAATATTGAAGTGAACTCAACATTTGAGTTGTTATTATGCAGCTAGTTTTCAAATTTTAATTCAGAAACAGATTTGAATACAGACCTTAATACTATAACTATTTTTAAGTTAAAAAGGTCTAATTTCACAAAGTTATAGCTTTAAGTATTGATGTTTAAATGCTCATGTGCTAAATTATATGTAGACATGATAGAATAGTATGCTTACATAGTACTGCATATTTTTATATCTGTATGGACTAAGAAGCATTAAGGACAGCCTCTTGACTAGTTAAATTACTAGCAGTTTTACGTATTCCCATCAAAGAAGAAATTATTTAGTTTGACATAAACCAAAAAATTAAGCAAGTCTAACCTAACAGATGGGACTAATGAAATCAAAAGCACTATGGAAATGTTAAGTTTGCTGCATGACATTTATGCTGACACTGCAATCAACTACACATTAGGAAATTCATAAATGTAATCTCCTTCTATTTAAGGGCATTTAACAGGCAACAACAAAGATAATACTTTACAAATTAGCTGGGTATCCATTACTAGAAGCAGCTTTAGAATGGGAGTAATCCTAAAAGTAACCATACATATCACCACCTTATTCAGAATCAATTATTCAGAATCAACGTCTTTAAAATAAAAATATGGCAATACAAAATCTTTTATACTTATTGCAGTAGGTCACTTTAAAGCAATTTTTTTTTAATGTGAAACCCTGTATATACTTCTCAAGTATTAATTTCTCTGTATGCCACAGCTTTAGTTGTTTGGGGGTTTTTTTTACTGCAAAGCTGGAAAGGGGAACAATATGGCTGACTTCGTATTTTCTGGTTTACTGCACTGCAAAGACATTTTGTAGGGTCCTTCACTGTAGGAGTTTTAGAAGCCTGTCCTGCTTAATCTATCTAAGAGTACAAGTTTGTTATTCAGAAGGGAAAGTATATGTAACACAGTAAACAGATGCATGTGTCCCACGGTACTCTGCCTACACAAAGGCAGTCCTGACTCCAAAGATGGTACAATCCCATAGGAGTATATTTCCTAGCTTTTCTAACCAAAAATAGTTACATACCTGATATAAATAATCTTCAAATACAAAATAGTAGTCATCATTGCTTGCTGTCAGCTTTACATCCTGTAAAGAAAAAAAATACAGCAATTTGAAGCCAAAAGGCCTCACTTCAGACTCCCATGGAGGCTAAACATAACACAGTGGAAGAAGACAGTTTCACCATTGAATCATGAAACAACTGTAGTTAAGTTTATACTCTATATTTTAAAATTAAAAAATACTATATTAACATGATGAAGTACTCAGAATAAAAACTTGAAATGGAAGCTATCATACCCTGTTCTTTCTTTCTCACAAAACCAGTTACTCCTTCAAATGAAGGTACCATTTCTTTACAACTTAAAAGTTCAAATTAAATGTCTTCCACAAGAGAAACTCAGGCAAAAGGATTGAGTTCACAGTAAGTTCACACTAGTTATTCTTACTTTCCTTAAAAGCAAACTATCTAATATTTTCCTTGTTAAAAAAACCCAAACAACAAGATACTAGAGTGATGAGTACATAAATCGTTCAATCACTATTTAGTGAACTACTTACCTTGTAAATCAGGCTGTCCACTAAAAGGTCATGCTGAATCACATTTGACTTAAGCTGTTCATAATACAATATATCCTAAAATTAAAAATATTACCATCATCAGTCTGAGACACGACTAACAAATTCAATTTTCAGCATTTGAAAAAAAAAAGCATGTATTCAGCTGAAAAAAATCACTTCATATTTAAGAAGCATTCTATCATGGTTTATTCGTTTAAGCCCTAAGAATTAAGACGTCACCAAAATTCACAGAATCCACAAGGATCATCGAGTCCAACTCTTAAGTGAATGGCCCACATGGGGATTGTACTCACAACCTTGCTGTTAATTAGCACCAGGCTCTAATCAACTGAGCTAATCTCAGGATTTTGAGACATTATAAAATGAGCTCCCCTTTAGATAATTAATAAAATTAGAATGAAGGGATTAATTCAAACCAAGGATCCATATCTTCCAACATGTGGTTCTCTCTACATCTTTTCAATGCTCAAAATCATTAGGCTTTATTTCTTTGTTACCCTCTATTTTCATGCACCTCTCCACCAACAGGTTCTGTCTTATCTTCGAGCATTAGGGAGTTGCTGCAGATGTTTGACATTAAACTAATACTAACCTCTGAATAGCCTAAATTTGTGCAAAGATGACATGATAAATATTTAAAAAATCTTGTGAAGAGTACAAAGAACTCAGATCTTTTTTAAACTCCAATTACTTCCTGAATATCTATAGAACATAAACAAGGATGAAGCGATGGGGAAGAAGCAGAACAAACACTTTTCTGCTTTTACTTATTCTATCCTTTTCTTCTTAGTAAGAGCTTGCAAAGGAAAAAAAAAGAGAATTAAATATTGCACTGTCGTCATGTAACTCCCAAATCCCTAAATACCTCACTGCCATTATGCCTACAATTGATTAACAGTTTCTGATGGATTTGAACTAACTGATAAATTAAATCAGCTGTCCTGAAGCTCGTTCCCACCTCACAAAACTATTTGGAGTTCAAGGTATCTATATGGACTCCACACAAATACATTCCAAGCTTTACATTCCAAGCTTTACATGTTTACTGCTTATTTCTTTGACAAATGGACAAGTCTGAAGTAAGGATTTAAAGAACAAATGAGAAGTAAGATGAAATTTTGAGAGGGAGAGAATGGGAAAAAAATTAAGTCTGGGGAACATTTTAACTGTTTTTTGTATTAATCTAAAACTAAGAAGAAGTGAATAGTATACACTTAGAAACTATTAGAATTAATATATTATTGAACTGTTAAGTTGAAATGAGGACAAAAGCAGCATTTATTAAGTCCTATAAATATTAAGTATTTATTAAGTATGACTACCACGGGGAAAATATTTTTTTTGAGAAATAAAAAGGGGAGGTATAAATATTGCACTACTACTTCAGAAAGGATCATACATAAATATTTACTAAATGTAAATTATATGCAGTATGAACATAACATTCTGTTCTTCAAAGCTACAGAGAACTACTCTAATACTTGAGTTGCAACTTTAAAGCATCAATACTGTGGTTTAATCAAGTGTAAAACTACCAAATTAATAATGTCTAAAGGCTTTTTGGCCATCTCAAATGACTGTCTATATTAAAACACAAGAAGCTAATAAAAAAAAAACCACAAAAACCAAACACCAACCAAAAAACCCCCAAACCAAACCAAAACCCATGCCCAAGGGGTTGGAACCAGATGATCTTTAAGGTCCCTTCCTACCTAAACCATTCTATGATTCTAAGATGAACAGAAAGGCAAGCTGTCCACCTGAACTAGAACTCATGCAAAAATGTTTGAGAAACAAACCAGAAATTACTGAAACAGGACTTGCAAAGCAAACTCAATCATAACTATTCTAAGAATAAAGCTTTTAGCTCATTACTTGCCTTCCAGTTCCTTTTAAATTGTGATTGTTGTGATGGAAAACAATCCATCACAGTGTGCTTGGGAATCGTGCCAGGTTTTCAGCCACAACTTGGCTACAAGAGGATCTTGCCCATGTGTCTTAATAAGACCAGAGGCTTGTGATTGATGCTGCATTAATAAATTTATTCCTTAGATCTGAATCCTAAACATGATTGGTCACAGAATTACTTTCAAGACATAAGACTCTCCAGTGATCAGTCTCTCACACAGGGAAGAATATTTTAAGAGCCTCACTCAGGCTTCAAAAAAGATTCAAATCTCCTTTTACTGTTTATTGGCTGCATTTCTTTCTCCAGATGAGATAACTCACTACTAGCAGGTTTCAGGAATGTCCAAAACCATATTACATTTCTTATGCTATTTAAAATATTTTCACTTACAAAACCAAAGTCTTATCATCTTCATCCAATTCATCATTTCTTTATCTGCCAAATCTTCATATAGCCTTGATTTGTAAACTTTTTCCCTTTTACAAATGTGTTACATTTTTATATAGACTGTAGCTTTTCTCAAAATTATACATTTTATTATACCACACCTCCAAATCTTTCCAAATTGAAATAAAGTACACTTCAGGCTTGCAGTGACCAGCCCTCTTGACCTTACAAAGCCACATCCCAAAATTTCACCCCAACACTCATACAGTACCCACTTGAGAGCTTAAGGGAGCTCAAAGTAGCTTACAAGCAAGAGAGAACAGTACCTTTCAACAGAACCCAGCAAAGCTACTTTAAGCAGAATCTGGTGATTCACCTTCTTTAAAATGAAAGTTTGGATTACTCAGCAGCCTCTCTGCAGGCACAATCCACCTGTGTCGTGTCATGAAATCCCTCACACTCTCACTGCTGAACTGTAGGCAGCTCATGAATCATTTTTAGTTCCCCTTGCCATGTGATGGCACTATCTACACTTGCCTCTCAAATCTAATACAAGAAATGAGTGGGTGAAGCACAGAAACAGGAGTATGAAGAAAGACTGACACTGACGAGACCAGAAAGGAGACACTAAGAGTTATGGGAATGGGCTGAAGCCTAAAGAATGGCAACCAGCACTAATTAGGTGAGCTCTAGATTTTGAAACAGCAGCACCAGAAACAAGTACAAAACAAAAAACCTAATCAGATTACACAAAGAGAAAACAGATAAAAGAGTTAAAGGAAGTTCATCGTGGTAAATGCTTGAGGAGGGTCCAACACTTTTTCTCCTTTTATCAGAGACCTGAGAAATCTAGTTGTAAAGTACATCCTTCTCCAGTCAAAGAAGATGACAGAGCATTACTGCTGCTGGATTCTCTGCTGTTTGGATGGGGAACTTTGGCTACTGATCCTAATCTAAAAACCACTTCTGACAAGGCACAGATATACATAATGCTCCCTCACCTATTATTAAGTTTTTAAACCTCAGAAACTACATTCAGTAAAAGCAGTAGTAAAGTAAAGCATTACTAATTTTTCCATAATGGAATTTTCAGAATTAAGATTTGCAACCTATTAACTCAAAAAAATTACATGGGAAAAGAAAAAGCCCATTAGATAATGAACAAATTCTTTTCTAAGCACTGTTTCAGTAGTATGCAATGAATAAATAACCGTGAAATACTCCAAACAGAAGGGAAAAAAAATTAAACAGATTCTCAGTAAGTGTGTGCCATCCATTTTGTGCAATGAAGCAGATATCCCACAGGAAATCATTGTGACTTGTATGATTCAAGATCATATGATAAAAATATTTACAGCAAATTGGATTGTTTGCACAGACAATATTAACTGTGACACTGCTCACCTTTCAAATGTTTGTCTTTGCAACCTTAAAAACGCTCTTGTAACACAGTTCCTCTAAAATGTACCATTACGAATGAAAACTAACAAACAATTCATTGTCAGACAATGTGTTTCCGCATTTCTAAATAATCCTGCATAGAGAGCTCCCAGTTTATCAGTTTTATGATTATGATGCCGGATTGTATATCATCCCTTGCCTGGCTGTATATTGGCTTTATACAGAGCTTTACTGAATAAAATTTTCCAAACAACAATATTGGATGCTAGCATACCAAACCCTCATAATGTTTTACATTAAAGACAGGAAATGCACAGTTCAGGTGAGTTAGAAATTCATACAGCTATAAATGTAATAAAGCCTAAACTGCAAATCAGAAATCTTACAGGCAAGCAAGGACTGCAACCACACAATTCAACTCCAGCAGAGAAATTATTCAAAAGAGATAGAGAAGTGTTTGATATGAAATTCAGCAGATCACGCACATATTAAGCACATAGTACAATCAGCTATAAACTAGAGTTGAACTTTAAATGACATAACAGTTTGGCTGACAAATACATTAACAGCCAGACATAACTTGTTTCTCTTTAAAAAATATAATCATAGAAAATTGTCCATATGTATTCCATGAAATGTATTTTTTCATAACAACTCATGCTTTAATTGAACATAAGATGAAAAATTTATCATTTTTCTGATTATTATCTTGACTTTCAGTAATCAAGACAGAATATCTGGCTTTTTTATTCAATTATTTCATTTTTCATGTTAAGATAAAAATGCTTTTAAAACATGAAGCATTTAACAGAATATAAGCAGATGCTATGTAGCCAATAACAGTAATTTCACACCTGTAATGTTTTTGCTCTCAAAAAGATAAAGGCTTCTAAAATTCAAACTATCACAGCTTAAATCTAGTCTTGAGCATTTTAAGTAAGATGTACAGTATTTCATTATTACTTCAACATCTTCTACAAAAAGATTAGTATTTTATTTACTAGAAACAAAAGCCAATTTTATCTTTTAAAAAACAAATAAACTAAGTCATTCTAATACCAGTCCAAATAATTTGAAGCTTATTTACCTTCCTTAGCTAAGCTGTCAATGAGTAAGATTTACACTTGTTTCTATGGGCAAAATTTTATGAGTGTACTATGTAGTTACCAATAAAACCCCCAAGTATTACAAGAAAATGGCTACACCCTCAAAGGACATGAGACTGCAAAATTCTCACATTTACCAGCATTTTAAGGTATATTAGATATACTGACTATAGCATGGCTTCAGATACTGGAAAATAATTCATTGTTGAGGACTTGCATCGACTATAAGGTACTATAAAAAACTGCTGCTGTACAAGGGAGTATGAAAACAATTGACATCTTACTAGCTCCTCTCTAAGTGTTTTTGATTGTACACATGCACAATATATGCAATAATATATGAAGCAATTTATAAAATATGTACATGCATATGATGAAAGGTTCAAATAACCAGGAAAAACTTATAACACATCTTTTTATAAAACTTGGCAAAAATAGGAGAGGTCTTCTTTCCAGGACATTTTTCTTGCCTCCTTCTGAAAAAGTCAGCATCATATAAGAAAACCTCAGGAGCCAGCCAGCTCAATTGAATAATTTGTTCTATAGTATTTTGCTCATATATCTATTAAAAAATTAGGCAAGAGCCTACAAGACTTCACCATAGCACAGAGTTTTTTTACATCATAATGTTTATCAGTTTCTGTGACAACTCAGTAGAGCATTTCTATTCTGGAAAAAGATCACTAGAAGATATGTGCTTGCACTTTTGTGTTCTCACCTAGTCTTCATACTTTACACTCACTTTGTTCCTTACCTCTGGCTGATTAGAAATATTAAGAATGAGGGCCCACAGTTCAGCTCGGAGTGCTGTTGGACATCCCTGACGAACATATTGTTGAGCTGCAGCACTGTCTTCCTCTGCTAAAACTGTAAGAAACAAAACAGGTAAAGCATTGATATAGCGTAAGACTTCTTTCAAATACCCTAATTTTTAACTTTAAAAACTGGTTTACCATGCTGGAAGCATTAGCTAACAGCAAAACACTAAAAAGTTCTGGTTTCCACAATGCAATTAAGTAGTTCCTTGGGAAACAAGGCCACTGGTAATAATAACCAAGGCTGTACTACCTTCTGTCACAAAACAGCACTTAGTACGTATCCATGATTATATCAAGGCTAGTTGCAGCTAGTAGGCATCATGCAGAATAAGCAGTCATACACAGTCACAAAATACTCCTGTTTAATTACGAGTGGTATCTCAGCTCAAATAGGAGACTGGCACTTGTTCTGGCTTTTTTGTGTCTCCCTTGTTTTCCTGTTAACTATACAAGTATCTTCACAGGTAACTGTGGGGCAAGAACTTTCTATTTCAGAGCGAACTATCATGGTTTCTCATTTGGTATGTGTACTCTGGAGGATAAAGACCTTGTTTTCCAAAAGATTTTGATTTCCCTTCATACTGACATAAAACAAATACTCTACTGTTGACAGGTGTGCTTAGATGGATCATTGTTGTGAAGCTTCAGGCTGCTCTGTCACAAGGGTCTCATACTGAATACAGTACTGTACGAACTGCAGGACAGACTGCCTCACTCTTTATTTATATCTATACACTTGAGAGACATTCATCTTTAGCAATTGTAATCTGGCAAAAGTGTTTCCCTCCAAGGTTACGTGGTTAACTGTACTCTCATACCCAAAATGCTTTTTACAACAGAGAGAGAGTTCGGAGAAATTTTTGTGATATTATCTAAACATCAGGTAGGTGTTGTGCTGGTATTCAGAAGTTTCCAAATCCATATCCTCTGATTTTTCTGAAGTCTCCATGAAAGAACTTGCTTTTCTAAATATCAGTAAATTCAATATTCACAATATCTGCCCTGACATGACTTAGAAGGATGAGGTTTGGAATTAAAAATCTATCTAATTCATTCTTGTCTTCTCTTAAATACTGAATAGACCAGTTTGCCAGTTTTCTGTTTAACCTGCAGAGCTTTAACACAGACATTTTGTGATCCTTTGTTTCTAAATGAAGGGCAAAAGTAAAAAAATTAAAAACATTCCTACATTCTCCAAAAAACTTTAGAAAGACTTTAGATGTGATTCATCTCAGTGTCCATGAGTGTTTATCCTATTTTTTTCTGAAACAAAATATTAAAATGTAGTTTTGCTAAGTACAACAAAGAAAAATCCTCAGACTTGGCAATACATCTAATATAAAAGCAAAATCATTACATCAGTGGCAACCAAAGTCATAACTAACACCCATTAGAGCATGCAGCAGAACTCTCACTGAATGAACTGGGATTTCAGTTTATGGTCAAGACTCTTAACTTACATTTTTACAAAATTTTGAGTCCTTGCATATAGAAAAACTAAGGCATTCTCTGTAATAGAGGTTGCCCTATACAGACAAGACATAAGAATAAGAACTACAGTGTAGAGCTGAATGGATGGCTCAGGGAGTTCAGAGAGGTAATTTGTTTGGAAGAATGGGAAAGGAACAGAGAGGTGGATGGTACCTAATGAGGTGCTCTTGAGTCAGAAAACTTACAATGAAGGAAAGAAAGATGACCACAAAAGAAGAAATAAGAAAGGTCACTCTTTTGTTACTGCAACAAATAAAAGAGGGAAGGGAGTACTTCTGAGATGGTATCCTTTCTCTTTTTCCTTTGATGGTGCTAATGTTTAGCAGGAATCACAAGAGACAGTAAGGAGCAAATATTGATGGATTACAACTATTCCTTGTATGTTTCTTCTATAAGCAAACCTAAGCTACGAAATTATTTTTTTTTTAATATTTCTCTCTTTTTTTTTTTTTTTTTGGTTAATTCTTAACCTACTGAAACAACCCAGGAACCTCAGGAACCTTTTCAGAAAAAGCAGTATGCGGAGACAAATTTTTCAGAGTGAATTTTTCAGAGTGGCAAAGTATTGCAATATTCTGCAATTGCAAATACTCATTAAAAAGACTCTATTCTGACGCACAGACATAAATCCCATTACACTGATGAGAACTTTGTGTGCAGAGATGGGAGTCCACAGTATTTTGATTTTAAAATGAAATTCAGTAGCGGCATAAGTTAAGTTATCACCAAAAAGCTATGTCTCTGTGCTTCCCATTTCATTTTTAATGAAATATCTGCAGAGTTATTTATCTGGTAGCTACTGGTAGACTGCAAATGTTTGCTTTTCTGTCTCTGTCTAAATGACAACAGTATTACTGACTGTCTTATCTAAACTACAATGGTATTACTGACAATGCTTTGTGTTAGCCTGTCTAAATTCTTAACATTCTAAAAGGTACATGGAAATTAAGATATGAATTTACTAAACACTTTCCTATCTACTCACAGTTTCTTAGAGATAAAAACAGATCCATACCTTTTTGTCCAACACGTACATGTTCATTTTCAAAGAACTCTAGAAAATACAGACACAGAAAAGAATGGCAAAATATAAATGAAAAAAAAAAGGTACTCCAGCTGGTGATGTATTTTATATTTTTATTACATACCATTAAATTCAGCTGATATGTACTGCTAACACCACTAAAAATTAACCTGCATCAGCATCAAAGTTCTCTTTCAACATCTAACAGGAAATAATACTACAGGATTTCTTCTTGTCTGAAGGACACAAATATCAAAGCAGCACTATACTACATGAACTTAGATTTTCAATTAGGTAAGTTTCCTTTTAAAAAGAATACTGATAATAATATTGATACTACAGTGATTTCCATTTTTTGTATGGAAAGACCATTTTAAAACCTCTTTTACAGGCATAGATGCATCGATGGAAAACCAATAGAAATTATGTACTATTTAAGATACTGAATATTAATATATGGATATGTCCTGTAATATTTTCTTAAAAGTAGTTAGTTAAAATACATTTGTGTGTGTGTCTATTAAATATATATTTATAAATATATGATGAAATATAAATATACTTAGGTATGTATATACAAATAAAATATATTTTTTATATATGTATATATATATGCCTGCTAGTTGGCTTAACATTTATTGATATCTCCTGTATTTTTGGAAACAGTGAGTGTGGTTCTCTAGATCCTGAAGTGTTCCAACATACTGAAATTAATGTATTTTCAACTTCTGGTGATGACTTTCAATCTTAGCCAAAACTGACTCTTCATATACGCAATGTTTTCTATTATTAACTGTGTTTTAATAAGAAAATCACTACAATCATAGTTACAGAACAAATATTTATGGTTTATTATGAGAAAAATATACAAATTACTTGGTAATTTACAAAGTATTCTACTCATTAGTGTTCTATTTAAATGACTGAAGCACAGCATTAGCTTACCAGGAGGCACTTGTGCTGAATCATCAATACCCAGTTGTCCTATATTTAAGCCTAGTTCACTGAAGTCTTCTTTCTGAAAAGAAACAAAATTACAAAAAAGTAATTAACAATGTTTAATTCTCTAAATCACTAGAGATTTCTTCTTAAAGGCTTAATGCAAATCATTTCTAAACCAAATTAAGTTTTTTTAAATGCATATAAAATATGGAGTCAGGTTTTAAAAGAAAAGAATCTCACATCAATTCTTACTCTAGTTTTAGTTATAGGCCCCAGTTTGCATGTCAACTATGACATGGATGTAGTAAAGTGGTGAATGAAAGATTAGGTTAAGGATCTCTAATTGCCAGCTCTTTTCCAACCCAGGTGAAAGCTTTTCTACTAGGATAAAATCCCCAAGAGTCTCATCAGTGAAGCATTAAGAAGAATTTTCCTATTTTCTAATTATAATACACTAGTACTCAAACATTTCCTTTCATTTACAACCTGACAATAAAGGGACTTAAAATTACTTTGAGAAGAAAATCAGAAGCTGTCAGATTACTGATCTTGTACAGGATCAAATAAAACTTTAGAATTAAGGTACATATTTCAAGTTTCTTGTACAGAAAAAAATGAGTAAGCGAATAAGGTGTACAGAAGTGTGTTTTTGGCACAAATTAAACCTGTGTGGCATAAAATCAAAACTTCCCTACTGGCAGATAATTTACTGTTTATGTTTTATTTTTCATTAAACTTTTTTATTTTAACTACATATTTAGATTGTTTTTCACCTTCAAAAGGAGAAACTTATGATGATACTGTTATTCCTTAGAATCTTTTTCATTAGAAAGGCAAAATACCCCTCACAGAAACCCCTTATTAGAAAAAATATACTTACCAATTCTGAAATATCTTTAACTTTTAAAGGAACCTGAATTAGCCCAAGATGATTTCTGAAACTAGGCTGTTCTCCATTTTCATAATTTGGGTTTCGAAGATTCATCAGTACCTTAAAAATGGTAGCTCTGTCATTCCTTGCTTACATTCAGAACTCTTCTTAACATCAGCAGTATTAGAAACAATAAATTCAGCACAAAACCATTTCCCCCAACTTACATATATAGACCCAAATTATTAAATTATATCTCAATATTTTCAAAATCAAAAAGGATTAAAACTTTTAAGGAAGCAAACACATTCTACTTGAAAAGTAGATTCAAAATATGAATAAAAAGGTAGAAATAATTTTTGATTTATGGGATTAAGTGCTGACTAACTAGTAATGTCTTACCTAAAATCTACTTCCTCATCAAAGCTATTCAAATGCCAACGGAATATTTCTGATGGCTACAGTATCCAGGATATTCTTCAATATTGCTTTTCTCTGAAAGAATTTTTATCCATATTCTTACACTGGCATTTTATGGAGCTTCCAATCAAAGTGCTACATAACTTACTACTAAAATAATTTCTTACTAAATAACAATGTATCTAAATATCTTCTTTCACTTGAGACCAAAAATAATTACTAAATTGAAAGTATAAAATTTAAAGGACAAGGAATCATGTCAAGATAAGTAACTGCGATCTATAAAGGAATTTAAAGTGTCTTCCAAACTGTCATTCCTTGGTATAGATTTTGATATGATGTTGAACCACAAGTATTCTTTCTAACACAAGTTTCCATCTCTTATGAAATTCTTTAATAACATCCTACCTCTACAATTCCCAGTCTTGTAAGTATTCTAATACCATATAACCTCACTGTCAGACTTGTAAATTTAAAGCAACTCCGGAAAGGAAACAGTATAAAGGAAAAAGAGAGTGATCATGAGGGTCATTGGATAAAGCTAAAAAGAAGATTGGTTTGTTTATAGATCCAAGATTAAAACACAACTTGTTTGTTAGTACAGTGATGGAAAACAATAAATGAAACATTTTCAAGATTCTTATGATAAGTGAACAAAAGAAGCTCTTTAGAAATGTCATAAAATGTATATAAAGTTTATTGTTGGATTCAGAAATGCATTCACAATTCATAACTATGAAACAATTTACACTTAAGTCAGAAACATATAATCTCCTCTACAACTACAAAGCATATTCCACTAAATTTGCACTGAAACACATTGAAATGTGAACATATTAATTCTTACTGATAATTCAGTAAAACTTCTAAGTTTTACTCTGTAAATTTGGAGGCCACCTTAACTCCAGAATTCTACACTGTTGTTATGCTTTAGATGGTTTCTTTCCCATATAACTCAAAGAATATACAGATAACAAATTAAAAAAAAATTTTCCAATCATATTTTAATCCAAAAATTTCCTACTGTGTCACCATTAAGTTCACTGTTGTCATGTTTATTGTCCATTATTCCATGCCTGTTCTAGACATAGCTGGTAAAGCAAGTTCTGTTTTACTAATGTCTGTGCTTGAACCACATGAAATTATGAATATTACTGTCATTTCTGAATTTAAATCCACAGTCACCATTCTTTTAATGGTTCAGTTTGATAACAGACAAAAGCCTCCAAATTCCACACAGTCCTGTTTCATGTTTTACTTTTTACAGTCTTCATAGATGACCTACAATTTCAACTGCATACAAGTCTGCAATCCACCACCAAAGAGTGTATCAGCTTCACATATTGTGATTTATCAGCTTAATGTACGTAAAATGAATTAAAAAGTAAAATGAATTACAAAATCAGTTGGAGAATTACTCTCAGAGGAAAAAAGTTAGCTCCAGACTGTTCTTTGGAGAAAGAGAAGTTTATCACAGGTACAATTTAAAATTGCAATTAAAGAAAAGGGACAATAGCATTTTGTCCAAACATGGACTGTTATAAAAAATATGCCAAATTTCACTTGCTATAAAGGACAACTTGTATGAAATACACTTAACAATTATTTTTCCCACGTCACATAAAAGACTATAATGCATACAAGTCAGTGGCTGAGTATTGTTTCATAAATGCTTACCTCAAGAAAATCTTTAGGTGCATAAACAGGCCGGAAGAGACTTAAATCTGAAATGAGATTTCAGTGAACTATGTTAAAACCAAAATATGAAAAAAATATACCACATATCTATAACACAATCTAGCAATCTGAATAACATATTAGGGCAAAGATCAAAATAACCCTATCACAGATACCATGCCTACAACCACCACATATTCTCTCACAATTATGCCACTGATAGTGCCTTGGTTTTGTAAACCCCAAGCAAATGGAGGGAGGGATGTTCTCTAAGGTCCCTTTAAGGGACCATTCTATGATTCTGTGAAGTGAACAGTACTCACAGGACGCTTTTACTTAATCCTCATAAGCCTTTAGACTGAACCAGTCCTAGACATGAGACACAATATTCAAAAGTAGGGTATTTTTTAACAGCTTAGATTGTTGAATTGCACATACTGCTTTGAGAAATCCTTTATTTTAAGGAATTTGGATATGAACTAGCAATGCAATTAGTTTTGCTCTCCAAAAGTAAATCACTGACTATTCTGTGCAACAGTTATTTTTATCTTTTTCAAGAAAAAGTCTGAGCTTAATTATCCACAGTTCTGAACATTTTCTTTTTATGAGCCTAAGTTTACACACTAAGGGGAGCTTTGTCCTAATTGTATAAATCTATAAAGCACTGGAATATGGAGTATTCTACCATAATCTCTCAGTGATGATTCAATACTAGTATACCATAACTTGAAGCAAAATAACAATGAAATACTTATTTATGCATAATAACAAATTACCAATGAGAAAAAAGATTGAAATCAGTTTGCCTTGAAGAGATTAACCTTTGACTGATAAGTAAGATGTGCATGCTACCTCTCTATGTACAAAAATGTAATGCATGTACATTTATTTGACCTTACCTGGCTCATCAGTTCCCATTTCATTCCATTTATTAAGCAGTTCTTTCTGTTCACTTACAGGCCTCTGAAAGGCACAAAAAGTAATTCTTCTTTTTTTAACAGTATGAATAAAAACATGCCTATTTCAAATATGCATATATTAACATAACACTTTAAAAAATAGTACCACAAACTTATTTGCTCAAAAATTTTTCCCAGCCTGAAGGTACATTCTACTGTAGGAAGCCCAGGTTCCACTTACAGGAAAAAAAAAAGGAGCCCATTAAATAGTTTCAGGTGTTTATTAACGAATTTTATGCTATTTAGTACTTAGTTTCACATCATTGAAGATTTACTGCACATTCAATAGAGCTGTTGGATTTATTCCTTCCCCAGCAGTCATGAAAAACAAACACAGCTGCATCCTTTATCTCATGATGAACCATAGACGTTCTGCCACCTATCACAGAGGTATATCAGGGGAATGAACAAAAAGTTCTAATATTACTGCCTAATTTCATGTTCTTTAAAACTAAAGCCTCTAAATTAACAAAAAAACCCAATAAAACAAAACAGAGCAGAATGAATGACAAACAAAATCAGCAGTGTGCCAGTATCGGTCTCTCCCCTAATGTACCAGTTCAACTACAGCCTTCTCTGGCACACAGAGTACATCCATATCACACGCAGGCTGCACAGCTAGAACTTACACAGCTGAGTTTGCACACAAAATGTTCTATTGAAGAGCAATGAATGCAGTAATTAGCTTTCCAATGTGCTGCTCCCTCAAGAGGATAATTACTGCAACAGCAAAGAGGAAAATCTACCTATGGCCTTCATTTTCTCCCAAGTTAAGTTGATGCATTCTTTTCCACTATCCCTATATATATATATATATATATATATATATATATATATATATATATTTCCATATCTATCTAAACATCTTTTAAATAACTACTTTTAAGAAAATATTACAAGACATATCCATATATTAATTATTCTGCACTAAAATTGTCTGGATATCAGACATGCAGCTCTTGATAACCATGTGTAAAATGAACATTACTAGTGTGCAAGACAAGGCCTAATTTAAAAAAAAAGTCAGTTTGACAACAGAAAATTACCTTACCTTCTGAGCTAGTGGGATACTGAGCTCTGTGCACATGCTGTTTAGACTTTTTAGAATTCGCTTCTCCCAGCTTCCCTAAAACACACACAAAAAATAAATTATAGAGAATTTATTTTTCCTGAAAATGGCATTTATCATGTAATAACAAGCAGCTCTCTGAAGTCATGTATAAGAAAGGATAGCAAGAGTCACTAGCTGACATCTGAAAAAATATTAAGGGAATATTTACATGCTTCTTTACATGAAAACAACAGATCAAATAGATTTCATCATTTACAACACAATTAAAAAGCCAGAAAATTTAGTTGTTCATATTTCAGATGTCAAAGAAAGCATGTATTTTTCACAATTACTGATTTTCATATATGCCTAATGATCAAGTTTCCTTATAGATCAACATATAACAAATTTTTCCAATAATTATAAGCAATTCAATCAACTGTGCACAGCAAGTGCCTTCTCCACTTTGTGATTTGAAGAGAGTGAGGGTCTTTCTCCACAAAGCATGTCTTCGATGTTGTCAGAAGTTTAAAAACGTTAGAAATTTGGTATTCTGTAATGCTCAAAAAAATAGCTCTTCTAACATAATGCTCAGGAAACAGTTCTCTAATCCGAGAAAACAGTAAGCAGGCAATAGCTCAGCAGAAAGTGGAAAGAGCAATCAGATTTTTCTGACTATTGCATTAGGCTGCAATAGTGCCTAACTCGTGGCTAATTCCTCTTAAGTTAATGACAACTAGTACTGACTTCCTTTTCAACTAACTTAGGATTTTCCTTCCCTGATTACAGCACCACTGGTGGGTTTTATATTTAATTTAGTTTTCTGTGGATGATGAGTCAAGCCTCAATCAAATGAATGCAAAGACTCCTCTTAATGTCATTTAGCTCTATTTATCACTTATAATTTGCTGTAGACACAAGTTCTACTACAGTTAGTTACTGTCTAACCATGCTCCTCAAAGTTCTGTCCAAAAGAGGATGCAGTTTATTAACAGGAAGCAAATGAAGGGAAGTGCAGATGTTCAAATGTTCTGTTAAAAAACAGAATATGTATCTTGTCTATAATTGTTTCATTTTAGCTTCCATTTACAAGACACTCTCATATCTTTTTCCATCAAACACAATAGCTCACTTTCACCAGACTTTTTTTCTCACAGCCAAGTCATGCCTTCACTTTCTCTTGCATAAACAAAACAGAAATGAGTTTTGACTAAAAGGAATGTTTTCCAAATTGCATTATTTTTTCTCATAATCTGTATAATATTTCTATTTAACTATATTTTTATATTTAAATTCCTTACAAATGCTGCAGTTAGACAACACCATGCCACAAACTGGTTAATCTCTCAAAGAGGAGTAGTACAGAGCATTTACTATTTTGCTGAGAAGTGAGGTTTTGTTGCTAGAGAATTAAGAAATGAGAGAACATGAAGACTACTAATCCATACAGGATAAGGAAGTGGAAACAGAATAAAGAGGTGTTAGTAGCAAATTAAAAAATCAAAGTGAAATTATCGAGACCATAGAATCACAGAAGACCAGGTTGAATGGGGACCTCAAGGATTACCTGATCCAACATTTCTTGGCAAAGCAGAGTGGCCAGCACCCTGTCCAGCTGAATCTTAAAGGGTCCAGTGTTGGAGAATCCACCACTTCCATGGGGAAATTATTTTAATGGCTGATTGTTCTCAATGTGAAAAATTTTCCTCTTGTGTCCAAACAGAATGTCCCCATTACCTTTCATCTTTTTCATGTGACTCCTTGCAAAAACGGAGTCATCTTCTTCTCTGTTGCCATCCTTTAAATACTGAAACATGGATAAGGTCTTCCCTAAGCCTTCTTTTCTCAAGGCTGAACAATCTCAACTCTCTCAGCCTTTCCTCACATTGCAAGCTTCCCAGTCCTTTGATTATCTTCATGGCCCTTCTCTTGATCTTCTCCAGCCATCCACATCTTTTTTGTAGAGTGGGGACCAAAACTGAACACAGTATTCCAAATGTGACCTGACAAGCACTAAGTAGAGTGGGATAATGATATCTTTATCTCTGCTGACCCTGTTGATGCAACCTAGCATCCTGTTGCCTTTCCTTGCCACAGCAGCACGCTGTTCACTCATGTGGAGCTTGTTCGCCACCAGGTCCTCTGGGTTTGTTTCCATAGAGTTGCTCCCCAGCCTGTGCTGCACTCCTAGGTTATGTTTTCCCACATGCAAAACCTTACATTTGTCCTTGTATTTCATAAAGCTCTTGTTAGCCCACTTTTCCAGCATATCCAAGCCTTTCTGCATGGTGGCTCTCCCTTCTGAAGTGGCTACTTCCCCATCCAGTTTGGTACCATAGCAAACTTGATCAGGGTACACTTGATGTCATCAAAATTAAGGGAGGACGAGGGGGCTGGGGGGGAGAAAAATAGCACAGATATACTTGAAGATATGAAAACTACAAAAGAAGTACAGGAGAGGCAGATGGCAGCTTTGAAAGACTGAGAAGCAGCTCATTCCAAGGAGCAATGAACTTGGCGTGACTGACAACTGCCAGACCAGACATTAATATGCTTATTGCACTGGGGATGCAACATGTTAGTAATTAAATTCTTATGGATAGTCCTAAACTGTGCCATAATTCAGCCTTCAAGACTCTGCCCAGTAAAAGGTGTTCAAAAAAATGCAAAACGTAAAAAAAAAAAAAGTGTGAGGGTTTTACAGCCTCTGCAAGCAAGATATCCTTCCCTCTCTCCAGGACAGTGAGCAGAAACAATACGCTGTCCTTGACTGAAATAAAAGGCAGAGGCAGAGCTCATAAAGTAATTTTACTGATGGTAACAATACATTTTACAAGATGATTCCTGTAGTTTTATGGAGAAATTTAACACTAAGAAAACACACTGCTAGGATTACTATGTTTACAATGATAACATTCAGTAAAATAGCAGAAACTGAGGAAGGCAGCACTGCAATTTGAAAACTACTTCATAGAATCATAGAATGGTTTCCAGTACCCAAAAGGAGCTTATAGGAAAGCTAGAGAGGGACTTTTCAGAAGCATATAAAGTGATAGGACAAGGGGGAATGGGTTTAAACTGAAAGGGTAGGTTTAGATGAGATATGAGGAAGAAATTCTTTACTGTGCGTTGGTGAGACACTGGAACAGGATGCCCAGAGAAGTAAGTTGTGGATGCTCTATCCCTGAAAGTGTTCAAGGCCAGACTGCATGGGGCTTTGAGCAGCCTGATCTAGCAGAAGGTGTCCCTGCCTATGGCAGGGGATTGGAACTAGAGAACTAGATGATCTTTAATGTCTCTTCCAACCCAAACCATTTTATAGGTCTATGACTTACAGCATTACTACTTATTGCCATTAATACTCTATTTTTCACTAGAAATCTTGTTTTTCTTTTGAGGTAGTGAAAACAATACAAAAACTACAGTCTGCTAGCTATGAGAAAAAAAGAACTAATTTGAGGAGGAGAAGGGTTAATTATGAACTTTTTAATATCTATTCTAGAAAAATACTAATATATTTTTAATTACTGATTCAAAGTCATTCCGATAACTGATATCAAAGATGGTTTTCAGGGAATATTACCCTTCTTTCCAGAATTCTGACGGAGAGCAAAACTAATTAAGATAGAAAAGGATAAAGAAATTGTCAACAAACTCATAACAATGGAAACAGCATCATAAATGGTGACTGTGCCTAATAAAAATTGAGTATGCTCTGAATAAAAAAGCTTGAAGAAAAGTTGTCTGCCTATGGAAAGTAGTCAATGTATTCTTATTCTGCTTTGTTGGCATGTGTAGCTTTTGCTTTGCCAATTAAACTGTATTTATAACAAGATTTCTCACTGTTGCCCTTCCGGTTCTCTCCCATTTTGCTGGGGGGAAGTGAGCGAGCGGCTGAGCTGCCTCCAGGGTTAACCGCCCCCAAGGACATGGATGATTAATACTCTTTGAAATAGGGCTATCAAGTTTTGGAACTAGCAAAGACAGGACTTCTCATTTTTAAACTACTGAAATAACAGGCCTTTCTACATAAGGCTAAAAATACTAGCTACTGTAAGTATTGTATAGACTTTTGTAAAACAATGACCAGTGAAACTGCTTTAGACAAACATACACATAAATATAGCTCTGTGGGTTTTGCATTAATCAGGCTGCAAATTGTGGCATTACATTTCACACCACACAAGAACAAGAAAAATTGGTTAACGCAATCTTTCTCCCCAAATGCTAAAGACTGAAAACCAGGACAGCAAGGTAAGACTTCCTGGAATAAACAACAAATATGATTGTAAAAGTAACACAATTTGTTGAATACCTTATAAAACAATGCTACAATGTATTTCTAGGCACGGCTGAGTTAACTACACTTTTATCCTATCTCATATGTTTTGGTTAGATCATATTCTTGAAGCTTTTTTTGGTTTTACATTTTTATATGGATTTTTTAATTTTTTTTCAAATGGCATATACTGGCAAAAAATTAAAACCAATGAAGCAAATATATTTTTTTCTGACACCGAAAATCCTCATTTAATCTTTATAGTTCAGTTTCTCTTATTCTCCTTCAATATGCTATAAGCTCCTTAGCTCTATATTTTTCATCTTCCTTTCACATTTTTAAGTCCTAAATACATCTCTTCTTTCTGAAGATCTCACTGTCTCTGCAGCCTGTTATCTTTCACTGCGATGTGTCTCTTCAAAAAAATATTTTTGTAGCCCCAAGTGAAATGACCTATAGCTTCCCTTTTTCTTCTTCTCAATAACACCAAATTCTCCTCTTTGACACAGTCACATCATCTCTATTCTGGATTTTTCACCCACTTGCCACTATATCATACTTCTTTCACAGCTGGAGAATTACTGGAGCAGGCTTTTATATATGTAAAGTGTCACATATATAGTATTACTTTGATGCAATTACAAATCTGTCCTTTTCCTAAAGTAGAGAACCTAGAAATTGTACAAATACATTCTACAGAGTAAATCTCAAATAATCTAACTAAAGATCTGATGTAAATGATAAAACTGATAACCACCAACCTGTGCTTTCCTCATATAGGCTAAAGGTTCTTTAATATGCTCAGGCGGTGCTGCAGGATGACAGGGCAGAGGAAACCTTAAAGAAAATACAGTATACCTTCAATGTTAAGATTTAGTATTTTGCTTAATTAATCCTGTATTTGTAAACCTAAACACAAACTTCTTTCATGAGAGCACTAGTAAAAACACAGTGTATGTCGATCAAAACTAAAAATTATTTTTAGAAGTATTTTTTCCTCATCCATTCTATGGATACAAATAATATAACAATATGTAAGAATAACATTTCAACATGAGTTTTTCTTATATTAAAAAGAATCTCTTATAATTTCACATATTTGTAAACCAAAATCAAATAATTAAATTTACAAATCAGGTATTTCAAAGGTGTATTCTCTTCACATCATATAATCTTTATGATTCCCTGGAACTCTCACTCTCCAGGGCATTACATTTTTTCAAGAGACAATGCATTTTTTTTGAAGATATCCCTTAAAAATCAATAGTGAGCATGTACATCAATTAGAGCAATTGGAACTTTGAGGTGTTGATCTAAGCAAAGTTGAGTGCTCACTCATAAATTGCATTATGCCAAAATATTAAATCTGGACCAAAAATAAAAAACCAAGCCAAACACTAATTTATCTCCAGTAGTGCAGATTATTTTCAATGTGTTATTGCCAAACATTTTATCCAGCTTAGTTTTAAATATCTAAAATGTCTTTCAGGAAACAAAATTTACATATAGCTTCTCTAATAGTTAACCTGAATTTTCATTTGTTTACATGTATTCAATCAGTTCCTATCATATGTTTTTGGGAAATCCTCCCCAAATTTCTCCCCGTTCTTAACTGATAAGGTCATTCTTTTACTTGCTGCGAATGAGTTCTGGACTACCCTGTCCCTATGTGTAAAATGGAATCAATACTAACAGATTTCAGCAATGCTGTTTCTTGTCTTTTCCACAGTGCTCATGAAATCTTGGTATTCTTAGTTAATTTCAATTTTCCAGTGCCAATTTCCTTATTTTGCTGCTTATTTCCATGAACTCAAAGAAAGTATCAGCATTAGCCATAGAGACAGGTAAATATTTCTCCCTGGAAAGATATGATGAAGATGAATCCTTACTGACAGAGAGAAGCATTTGGCTGAATCAAGTCCCAGCTACTACTAAGATACATTGTGCCAAACTGGTAACTCTAATAAGCTTATTTAAATTAGCACAAATAGATTTCCATACACATTTCCTATTTTATAGTTGCATTTAAGGCTATATCTGTTATGAAATTCAGCTTTCCACTGTGTCAGAATGTAAAGGCAACCTATGCTTCCCAAAAGTCTAATCCGAAGTTTGATGAACAATAATAAAAAGGAAACGAGACCAATTTTGGTGTGTTTATAACCATATCTCAAGCATGATGAACACTGTACACACTAGTAAGCCTAGAGATCCAATATCTTAAAGAATTTTAAAAATAACAATACAACCACTATGTGCAATGCTGTAATAAACACATGAAAATAATTAAAACGCATTTGTAGCAGCTACCTCATCTACACAAGAATTATATTATGACTGTTGGAACCTTTGGAAATAAAGCAACAAAAAAAATACTAAAGTAACTAAAAAAATTGGCGATTTGGTGATATTTGTTTCACTCATTCTTTAAAATGTACTTGAGTCCAATATTTTCACTAGGATGAAAAAGAAATAATGACACTTTAAAAACAGAAATGAAGCAGGTACTGTTGGTATGACAGATCTCGCAGATTATAGTAACACGTTATACACCTACATATACAAATGAATCAAAAGAAAATCATGTGAGTAGAGCTCATTAAATAAAAATACTAAATAAACTCACACGTTGAGCTCACTATAAACAGCATTCTGAAGCTTCTTTTCCCAACCTGTTAAAATAAAAAAATAACCAGAAGACAATTTCAGGAATTAATACTAACAGAACATGAATCAGAGGTTGCTTTGCAGTCACTGGAGTTTTCTGTCTGTTCCTGTCTACCTACCAGACAGATAGGAAGAGATAAAGAAATCTTAATCCAATTCAGATAGGAAAACTACAAGTTGAAACCTGTGTAAAGACTGAATATCCTTTATTTCCATCTGCTATTCAAATAATTACAACATAGTTTTGGTTAAAAAATTACATCCTATTTTTTCAAAGACGTCTTTTATTAAAACATCTATTAATATTAACAGACACGGTGTTCCTGGTGATTATAAATTTTAAATCGCTTATCATAAAATCTTCGCATTATAGTTACATAGCCTACAACTTCCAATGCAAACCGGAAATTTAATGAAGGTAAAATTTTCAAGAATACCTCCATGAAGATTAATTTCCATTTTCAGAAGTGACTGAACTCTCGTATCACTCAGAACTTTAAAAAAATTTCCACTATCTTATAAAATTATAAAAACATTTCTTTGCATAGTATGTTTTTCAAAATGCTGATGGAATCCAAGAACATTTTCCCTTTTAATTTTCTCTATCTAGTTTAATAATCTGCAATCACTGAATGTCTGCTTCTGGCTCCTGTCAGTGACAAGACATCAAGCTGCACTAAGGACTATATTCATCTCTTATGACATATACGTGCTTACAAAGATCTATATTGTTCATAAATGTATCAATGAAGTATTACAAACCTGACGTCTTTAGAAAATCCTTAATATCTTCTTTTAGGGATTCCAACTTAATTTCTGGTTTGTGTAGGCTAACCTAATATGAAAAATAAATGAACAAATAAATAAGCATCAAGCACTAAAGAGAAAGTAAATTGCATGATTTAAGTTATGAAGTAGGACACATACATGCTTAAGGTTACACACAAACTAAACTGCTTCTTTGAGCAATGGTAATTGTGGCCAAAAAAGAAATCAGTCAACTTTTTTCTCACTCAATGTCTTTGTCTTTTCCATCAGTGCTAAAAGCTGTATGTTGGGAAGGAGAGAAGAAGGGAACATGAGTATGCAGTGACATATACATTTAATATTCTCAGCAAGTACCCCACACACTTAGCCCAAATGGTCATAAACACACACATACATGTGTAAAAAACTAGCCACTCAATGTATTTTACCTGAAAGAATCAAACTGAAAACATTCTATAATTTTGCACTTAACCTCCCACAGTTCACCTCTTTCAGACAAGAAATGTCATTTTCAAACCAAAAAAGCCAACTGTGCACCAAACATTCCCCACTGCAGCTGTGACTATTGGGTATATACAACCTCTTGTAATGAAATGCACTCCACACAGACAATTAGGCACCAACCAGCTTTATAACCATACCATGACACTACCACACAGATGGTGCTGCAGATTTTCCAGCAATAGCAGGACCAGCTGCTATAGCATCTCCCTCTTCTACAGCTAGACCAAGAGGAGAAAACAAATACACCATCAAGGTCCAAAAGGACAACAGGCAGAAACTCAGAAGTTTCTGTCAAGTGACTACAAATACATATTTTTCTGAGCATGGACTGTGGCAATAGCTGATTAACATCAGATAATAAAGCTAGAGGTTTAGAAAAAAGAATAGCAACACTGGCTGCCAACCTGAAAATAACACCAGGAGATCTGTGTGCAGCTTACTCCACTGCCATGACAGCTCAAGGCACATGTTAGAAGCATATGGCTATATCATCTACATATAAATGTGAGACATCTCTTACCAGAAGCTACTCAACAATATGCTGTAGGCCTATCAGCTACTGATTCGACTGCAGTAAGTTATACTGCTATTAAAAATAACCTTTCACCAGCTTGTGCAGTTTGCCAGCCCTAACAGCACTGCTGACTGCACAGCATGCTTTAGGTCCATCACACACAACTAAAACTCCACAATCCTATAATTTGCCTTACAATTTATACATGGAAAAGGGTGTTTCTGTGCTGCAGAGCTTGCTGGAAAAGTCAGTCTACGTGAATTTTCCCTAGTTGAGAAGAGGAATGGCCAATAACTCCGAGACTGACAGCACCAGTACTTCCGCTCTTATTTCAAGTCCCCTTGCCATTACAGGTAAGGAAGGCTTTTATATTTGGTTTATTGACTGCAATAGCAAAAAGACTGTAAGCATGCTTTTTGAGGTCTGGTGAATTATATATAAACTCTCATGTCAAATAACAAACATATACTCCATTCAGCACAATGGTAAAAGCTGGCAAAGGATCACTGCTAATATCAGGGAAACGAAGATTTTCATTGGAGTTCTTGGGCAGCTCAAACAATATCCTTTTAAGCAACAGCTTCAAGCAGTATTTTATAAAGGATTCCTCCTGCTGCTAGGCAGTGGGTTTGTACCTTTCCTATAGGAATGTTAAATAAAATAACATGCATCAAGCTGGGCCGATTCTGCAGTACTGTTCCTTGGAAGTTTTTGTGCACCCTTCTGTAAATATTCAACTTTGTCTTCTGGGTTAAATATAGCTAATTTTAATCTCAAGGTCCATGGGTGTTTACCTGTCAGACCTGGTACATACACTTTTTAGATATGCAAAAAGCCCCTCACAAATAAAACTCATTGACATGTGATGAATTACACACAAAAAAGCTTCTGCACAATCTACTAAAAGGTGGGTTGTTTTGACACTGTAAACAGTGTGAGACACGACAGAAGTGCGATCAGAATAGTATTTTAATTCTCTGCTGTTCACATATCTGTGAGCTCTTATCTTATCAAGGAAGGTCTGACAGTCCAATTGACAACTCTCAGTGGGTTTTTTGCAGATTCCTGGAAATTCTGGAAATTGATACAGTATATTGCATTAGAGGGGATAAAGGAGTTCAGTCTACAGACTACTTCCAATTTTCCCTGTCAGGCCAAAAGAAAAGAGGTCTTTCCTGTAAACTGCTGTTACCAACACAGCCTGTTCCCCAGATGCAGAACAAAAAACCAGTGATCCTCTTGCATGCAGCAGGATGGCAGTTGGCAGTCAAAAGAGAAGCAGGACAGCACTTTGGGGAAAACTTCTTCCAAGGATTACATTAGTGCATCAACCTCCACCAGTTACCTTCACCCCTCTGTGCCCATTTATTCAGTCAAGTTGTATTTCATTATTCCTAGCCCTCTGCAGCTGCAGCAAATATTCTTAGACTTACCTTTAATTTATCAAAACTTCTATCTTTAATTTATCAAAACTTCTATCTTTAGCCTCTCTCTGGTGTAATTTTCTTCCTTTGGCTGAAAAATGCCCTACTGAGACAAATTTTCATATAAGACGTGAAAATTCCACACCAAATTATAGAGGCACTTCTGTCTCCACTCTTGTCAATTCAGGATTTAATTGCCAAAGCCTCCTCCCATTTACACTTTCCCTTTAGTTTACTACTGTATTACGATCAATACATTCCTAAGTGCTAAGCAGAGCAAGAGAGCCACAGAAACTCTTAGGGAGTCGCTGCCCTCTGGACTGGGGCAAACTGATCAGTTTTCAAATCAGAAATTAGATAGCTGAAAGGTGAGAATCCAGCAGACAGTCCAGCTAGTGGCTGCAGCCAGCTCTCACACAGAAGAACATACCCTGCCTCTATAAGACATAACCAGGGAAAATACCCATTTTGGAAAGTGAAAGGTAATCTTTCAGAACTGCTTTGCTGTAACTTAACAGCATGGTGCCTCTTTAAAATTTATATGGGTGTTTATGGGACTAAACTGAGGAATAGAGGAGACTTCGAAGAGCTAATGTTCCAGAATTACTAGACCAGGTCTCCCACATAATTTTATTTTTCCTTTGGACTAAGTGATCTAACTTATACAATGATGTACTAGGTTGCAAAACACATTTAGGTGTTTATATTTTAGGTAGGGTTGGTTTGTTTTAAACTGCTTGGTACAACATACTGCCTAAGTCTCATTTGCATTTTCATTCTCTATGAGTTTTTGATAGAATGAAAAATACGTTGACAAAACTTTATTTATATAAAAAGCACTACTACAATTTTACAAGATAAAAATGCCTGGCTAGGGTTTATTGGGAAAAAAACCCCACCTCGATGAGATTTGTACTGATGAACTGAATTCATTTCCTGCATGATCAAAATGCAGCACACACCCAGTAGAACTACAGACTCCAATTTCAATACACACATCTTGATGAAAGAGTATCTTACTTCTAGAAGAAAAATAATATCTGGTACTATAAGGAGACTATCACAAGCAGGGTAACAGACAGTGAGCAATATAGGGGAACAATCCATGAAGGCAAAGGGTGGCAGCCAGACGAGGGGAAAACGTCACAATATATTCAGAGGCTGAGTCAGGCCAACACAGAGCCCTGAAAGGAAACAGGGACTAATGTAGCATATTTCAGCAAGAAATAACAAATTATTTTCAATAAACGTTAATGTCTAACAGTTTCTTTTCCCATAAAACTAGCATTGTGCATAATCTTATGATAGGGCACTGGAGTCCAGGTGTTGGGTGTCTATGTTCTTGCAAATCAAGAGGCAACTGGTTGTTAAACCTCCCTTCATAAAACAAGCTCTCATTACAGCACTTCTTGGTACCCTCTGTTCTTCACCTGTACAGAACAGCACGATAGTATTGGGACTTTCAAAATTTTGCCATACTTTCTGATGACTAAGGTGCCACTAGCAACCTTTTGTGTATATCTTTGCCTTCAATTTTGGCAAGGTATCCTGCTGAGATCTAGGCAGTCAACCATCACAAATGATAATCTAAACGTAAACTCTCTGTGTCTCGATGCCAAGATGGAAAAAAATCCAGACACTCAACATTGATGAGGCTGAAAGCAAGCAATAGGATAGGGCAGCACCAGGATAAAAAAGTTGGTGGGCACAGTAAATTGATTCATACAACAACTGAACACAGAGATCAACCTATCTGCAAATTAGCATCTAAATTTGGAAATGGCATCATGACTGGGGCAGCACTGATCATGCAAGAAACAGATCCATCAACCACAGCACTCAAAGAAGTAAAGGAAAATAGCTAGAGGATCAGCAACATAATACAAAGAGGAGGCTTGACAGAACAAAGTGTTCCAGCATAGCTCCTGTGTTAAACTATTTCTTTTCTCAACAAGAATAAACACTGCAGAGAAGTGATCCAACTAGACTGAAATGTGGAACTGCATCAGGTGAACACATATTTTTATCCTGCTGCAAACAGTTCTGCAAATAACTTTACACAATCTAAATATTTTTACAGGCTATCCACTATAATTTCTCTTCAAAGCCTTTTTGGTTTAGATAAGCATGTACCCTCTCAAAGCATTTATTACTGTTCATTATGAATTTGCACAAGGGCACAATGTTTTTTGCTTTTATTGCTATTATTTCCCAAATTACAATAAAGCATAATCCCCAAATACAGCCTAACTTTAGCAAAAGTAAATTCAATGAAAGCTAATAAATATTCACCTTTCCTTATGTACTCCATTCTGCCATAACTGAACTTTAGCAGGATTAAGCTGACTTGGTAAAAACCACTTCAGGTACAACCACAACAATTTTAACATAAACACTCCCTAAAAATTTAAAATCCTTTAAGGGAGGGATTTTAGTTTTCGTTTATATATTTCTGTAACAGAAAGAATAATCATTCTGAGCCTAATTAAACAAGTTTCAGTAAGTGTAAAACCTGGATTACATCAACAATTTTCCAACCCTTCAAAATTTCTACAGTAATTACACCAAGGGAAGAAGTATCATTAACTTTCTTATATAAGTAAAAATAGCCTGGCAGTTGAAATACCCTCATAGAGGCATAAACAGCTTCAAATGTTACGCTGTGCTACAAGATATGCAGGGTATATTTTAACAATGTAATTTTGATGTTTATTTAAATTTTCTGGGTTTTAGTTGAATATAAAATTCTTACTGAAAATAAAATACACAAGGTAAAAAATAGAATCCACATTACTAAAAAAGTAATACTCTGCCAATCAAGCTTGCATTGTTTCTGAACTCCTGTTCAACACAGAGTCAACTACATTCCATTTAAAATTCACTGTACTGCAAATGTTACTGCTGAACCATTTAAAACAAAGTACAAGCTCTGTCAGGAGGGCATAATAAGTCCTTTGCTAAATACAAAGCATTAAAATGAACCATTAATTATATATGATGATTCATGAGGCTACACATTTCTTTGCTAATTTTTATTAAATAAATGCTACATGGAACAGAAACATTCTCCTCCTTAATTTGATCTTTTATTTAAGCTGGTATTGGTATAAATTTCTTTTTTTTTAACTGTCGGAGAAAAATGTAATGAAAATAGTATCATCAGATACCTTGCAAACCATTCACTCCAGATAAATTAATGTTTACCTGTACTCCCTTCAGAAGCACACAGTTGGGCACTACTCCAGCGACAATGTTCCTTGTGCTCCCAAAGCAAGCTCTTCTTCTCTTCTGCCTCATCTGAAGTCTTGTGAAGACCCTTAGCTCTCACTTAGATTAGTACTGTCTTTAAACCTTTCTGGCTCTATCACAGGTCTGCTCAAAGAATGATGGCAGAGTCCTTTCCTCAGGACAACAATTCTGACCATGACATCTCCTCTACACACCCTCTTCATACCTTCAGGTACCTCCTAAAATCTGTTCTCACTCCCAAACTTAACTGCTACAGTAGGGTAGGATGGGGTGTCAGGGCTCATTCTTATGCTTACACTGCCACTTTTAGCCCACTTTGACAGCCCTTACTGAGCTGTTCTGCAAGTTCTCCATCAAGTTGTCCCACTACAGACACACCTACACGAAACAGAACTGAGAACATCGAAACAGACAATGCCAAGAGACACTCCCTGCACTGTGAGTCTTTCACCTTCAATTTAAACATAATTTAGAACCTTTATCTTTCATTTTATTGTCACCTCCTGTGTTAGAAAAGTTCTTTAGGAATAAACTTCTGAGGCTGTTTTTTGTTGGTTGCTTTTGTTGAGGTCTTTTGTAACTTGTTATTTGCCCCTGGCCACTAGAGGTTCTGGGCAACTCCAAGTCAGACTGATTTTTATTAGAGGTTTGCGTGGGACAAAAATTAATTAACTGATTAATAAAGCCCAGCTTCCTTCAAACATGATGAAAGACAAAGTTCCTGAATTGTTTGCAGATGAAAATGTACTAAAAATGTAGCACTTTTTTCATGCCTCTGAGCTGTTCCATTTTTACTGTCAGTTCAATGGTACAGATACTCCCTAAAACAAAATTCTAGCAAGATTACATAAAATAATTTGTTTCAAAACTGCATTTTGTCATTGAAGATGTGCACGTCTCAGTTTTCTAACCCCCTTTAATTCTTAGTTAAAAACAATTACAATTCAGAAAGGGAGGAGAAAAAATTAAGACAAAAGCAAATTTGGTTACAACCTTGCACAGTGACATTGTGCCTGAGAAACTGAGATGAGATTTCTCCGCCCTTACCCCACTAACCCCAGCCACAATTCTACCTGTTGAAAATATACTATTTTGGCTCTTGGTTCTTCTTTCCTTTCAAACACACTAATAAACATGCTCAGAAGAAATTCCAAAGGCACGTTAACATTCTTTCCTGCATTAATCTCTCTGTATTAACTATATTATCAATATCCCAAAACTCAACCTACAAAAATCAACCTAACATTTTTTTTACCAAATCATCACTCACAAGCATATGACTCTACTTCAGTCCTTGGGACAAAAATGTGATTATCTTGGTATCCCCTGAGGTAAAGCCATGACAGCAAATCATTTGGTGCCCAGGCCAAAGTTATTCCAAAGAGATTGTGTATCACAGCCCCTGACACAAGCTCAGGCTCCCAGTGACAGTCAAGCATAGAACTGGTGTGATCAGTTCATAACCACAGGGCTACTCTATCACCTCTCACAAATGATGTGTGAGATATTATGTTTTCCCCCAAAATTTTATTAACTCGTGAATGAAACTGTTCATTTCAAGCTCTCCTTCCTAGACAATAGAAGAAGAGATGAATTTACAAAACATACAAAACATTTTTTGTTAATAGTTAAAATACTGCTCGTGAAGAGTACATGACCTCTCAAAATTTCAGGCAATATTATAACAGACCTTATGATCCGTCGTGACTCACGTTTTCAAAGATGGTAAATATTTCTGAGGAACAAATACCAGCAATGTCATTTTCTACACTAACAGATGAAGAATTATATTTGTAAAATATAACTGCAGTATAAAGATCCAAAAGAAGTAAGTTTTGTTCTGATGCAGTGCTTCAAAAGACTTTTCAAAATACAGTATGTGAATCCTGAAACAGCTTAAAATTGCCTAGAAAGGGACCAGCCGTAGATCAAAACTGCAACTGGTGCAGACCAAGCACTGTTAACCAGCAGACAAAAAACCCCATCACACCCTATCTATCAATAAGCCAGAGTTCAGGTGTGATGCACAGCAATAGCAAAGGTTTCATATTTGACAATGCAACTTCAGAAATACCCTGGGTAATGGGGGGGAACTCAAGCATTAGTTTAATGCAGAGTGAGTCAAAATTCAAAAACCTTCCTAATTCTGTACAGCTGCAAAGGGATGGACAAGAGAGAAGGGACCCACTGATATGGCCTTTGCACCTGCATAGAACAGCAATAATACGACCATCCAAGCATCGTAAATAAAACAAGTCTGTACATGAACAAACATAAATGCATGCAAGGTCATTATAAAAAAAGTCTGTATCAGGGAGAACATACAGAACATTCCTGGTAAACACAGTGTATTTTTGGCCCTCCTGATTTAAACTACCAGATCCAAAAGGAAATTCATTTGAGAAATCCCCTAGTTGATGCATACATAAACTTTCCAGTCTTTCAGATCACTACACTGAACTATAGCTATGATTTAATCTTCTATTACAAACTCTTTAAACACCTGCTCTTAAGAAGCAACTTGAATATTTGTTGCCTTGTTTATTTTCTTTCCCCTTAGCACTTCATGTGACTGGAATGATCTTCTGACCTATATAAATACTTTTTTTTCTTCTTTACAAGACATTTGTAAAACAGTGCTCTGCAAAGCTCCCATGACAGGTTTGACTGTGGCCATTACACTGTGTTTTATTCATTTTATAGGTTACCTTTACACTTTGATTATGCACAGGTTCTACTTGTATTGAGTAAATTGATACGCTATCGAGTCGGGGAGGGATTTAGGCACTTCACTGCCCTTTCAGACACCACCCACCACCATGGAAAGGCACTGCCCAGGTCCCCAGTGCCCAAAATGGCTCTATAAAACAGTCACCCACCAGCAGCACTTAAACACCCCACCAAGTCCTGACTACACCAAGCTTCTCCCAGTCTCAAAACAAACTCGCCAAGTATCAAATGACAGTGAAGCCAGGTCAAGGAAAAAAGAATGTGTGCAGAGCTGAGTACAAACAGGTTTTATTTAAGCACTAGCAGAGTTGTTAGAAGAGAGCCTTGTTCACTGCCTGTACTGAGGACAAGGTCTTGAACTTGCCTCTCCACTCCTCATGTCAGGCTACTTGGGATGCTGAATTCCCCAACATTCAGCAGAACCCAACCTCTAAACTCCTCTGTAATTCCAGACCTCGTCAGGTCACACACATTTGCTTGCTTACATACTTAGCACAGCCAACAGGAGCAAAGCAGACATACATTTATAAAAGCATTTAGGGACCAAATCAGCAAATTTAAATACAAAACAAAAGACACAAAAGGCACGCAGTGATGTCACTTGCTCTGGAAAACTTTAGGGACATTCAAAGAGGAAAATCATGCTTCATTTAAACACACAACAAAACTAAGGCAGATAAAAAAAAGGGTACAAGTTTAAGCAATGTTTACCCCAAAAAAAAAAAAAGCAACCCACAAGATTTTACAGAACCCAACCCAACGTATTTCAATAATGCACAATAATTACTATAGCTCCACGACTATGTTATTATGATTATGAAAACTGATGCAATTTTAATCTGAAACATCCTAAATTAAATTCAGCTGAAATAGGAAAATCTTGTTTCAAGTGCAGATAAGCTACTAAATACAAAAAAAAAAAAAAAAAAAAGGCATCTGTTTTCTCGGCTAATAAAATGTACTTTCATGCGTGTTTTTTGTTTTCACTTCCTTTCACCTAATCCTCATTTCCTCAGGGGCACTAGGGGAGCGGGGGGTGGGGGGGCGGCATTTAAAGCTTTCCAAACGGAAGATTAAAAGAGCAATTCGTTTCGGGACCTATATTTGAAGCAGTGAGATTTCAGAGGGATAGTCTTCATATTCCCTGCGAAATCCTTCGGTCCCAAGGGAAGACACTGTAAACACGGCTCCAGAAGCCAAACACACCACCCGGCCCCGCCGGAGTGGGAAAGAGGGAGGGAGAGGAGGAGGGGAGAGGCGCCGGGAGCCCCCGGGGCCCCCGCCCCCGGAGGAGGCCACACGGGCCGGGCCGGGGGCGACAGCCGGGAACAAAGCGCCGGGGAGGGGGAGCGCGAAAGGGAGGCGAACGCGGGGGCCCAGCGGCAGGTCGGGGCTCACCCGGGCCTGTCGCTCCAGCTGTGAGTGGAGGCTGGAGCCCTGCAGGCGCTGCACGACCCTGGCGATGGTGAGGGACAGCCCACGGTCCGGGTCCAGCATCGCGGCCCCCGCCCCGCCCGGCCCGGTCGGGCCGCCTTCGCCGCCGCACCGCCCGTTACCCGGCAACGGCGGCGGCGGGCGCGCTCCCGCGGCCGCGGCCGGACGGGAAGCGGCGCCGCGCTGAAAGGTTCCCCGCCGCCGACGTGTCACCGTTAAGGGGAAGGAAAAACGCAAGGTTTGTAAATGCTGGTGGTCGAAAGGAAGGGCAGAAGTCAGAGGGTCCGCAAAGAATCAGAAAGTTTTATTAGTAAATTACTGGAAATTGATGTGTTAATCTCTGACCTGCACACGGTAGGGGGTTTTGGATAAAGAGGTAGGATGAAAGGGAATAAAGAAAGGAAGAGATAAATTAAAGAGGAGGAGAGGGAGAGAGAAAGAGGGAGAAAAGGGAAGGAAAGGAAGGAAGGGAAGAAAGGAAGGAAAAGAAAGATCATCACTCCTGTTCCAGCGTCTTGATTCAGCTGCTGGGATATCCATGGGTGCCACCTAGGCTTGGGAGGATACCTGTTTATGGACAGGTTTCACTACCCTGAAGACAGATTTCTTGCTTTCTATACGAATTAGTTATCATCCATTCTTTCAGGCCTTTCTGAAAATGGTTGGAGTGCTTTGGGGGTCTTTGGTGGCCTTGATCCCCCCCACCCCCCCACAGTCCATGCCCACTTCTTGGCTTCATTCCTTCACTTGTGCTGTACTTTGTTGTGCTTATCTCCAGGAATTACAACAAGGACGTTTGTCCCAGAAAAGTCCTGCCCCCCTTCTCCAGTCACAACCTCTTCTTTCTCACGGCGTGTTGGTACCAACAATCTTTGTCTGTTAGTCCCAACAGTGCTTGGTTGGCTCTACAGCCATCGGCTATCGGTGTTCGAGACATACACATTAGCCCTATATCTTTTGGGATTCTACACCACCTCTCCCCCGGCACCTGGCAGGCTTTCTCCAGCCCACGAGCTGTGCACACACTGGGTTGGATAAGGCTTGCCTCAAACTCTCCTGACAATCTCACATGTTGGTTCCTTTTCCTAAGTAAACATTTATAATGTATCATCACTAGAAGTGAGCGTGAGGAAAGCCTATGTGTGGGTCTGGCTCTTCGGCCACACTGATGTTGGAGACATCCAAACACACCTGGGCTGCCGGCCCTGCCCTTCCCCCCAGCGCAACCTTCAGAGAAAAGTGTCATCATCCTTGCCCCCTCCAAACCTGCTCCAGCATCATGTAACCAGTTAGGAGCATTCCAGGTCTGTCTTCACAAGTGACATAATCATCAGTACTTTTGGCTCTATTAACCTGTCTGCCCTTGCTGTGGAAAGGACTAAACTTTCCTTTACAGTCAGCTGTTGCACCTCAGCTGAGCTGCTGCAATCAAAAGCTGCAAGGCAGCATCTTCTCAAATTGCTTCTCAGCTGGAGTTTACAGTGCACGGGCTTCAAATCCATTTCAGTGCAGTCAGAAAGAGAAGCTTAAAAACATGTGGTTTAAGTGACTTTGCACTAGTGTGAGGTAACAGGATTCATATCATTAAAACTTGAGAGACAATTTAAAAAGCTGCTTTTGGGGCCCTGAAGTGTCACATCCAGATGGTGTGAGCAGCAAATTCAGTCCCAAGGCTCCTTTCTGTGTGCTTCTTGAGGAGTACAAGTCAGCCTGTATTGGGGTGAAGTTTTGTTGCCCTCTTAAATATTTTACCCTTGTCTGCTCAGCATGGTGAGACATTAATTCAGGCTCAATACCAGGAGCCGACACAGCCTTCATTTGAGCAGAGCAGCTGCATCCACTGGTCAGATTATGTGACTAATATGTCTGTTCTAGAACAAGCAGCAGTCACAAGTATAGAGGCCATGCTGATGAGAACACAGCTGCGCTGGGCAGGGCACGTCTCCAGGATGAAGGACCACCGCCTCCCTAAGATCCTGCTTTATGGTGAACTTGCCACCGGCTGCCGCATGAGAGGAGCCCTGAAGAAAAGATACAAGGACTCCCTGAAACAACATCTCAGCCTCAGCCATATTGATCAACATAACTGGTCTACTCTGGCCTCCAATCGGGAGGTCTGGAGACACACCATCTATAACGCTGCTGTTTCCTTTGAGAATGCACGCAGGATCACTCTCTAGGAGAAAAGACAATGCAGAAAGAATCGTGCCTTGCAGAATATACCACCTAAGGAGCCTAGCCATGATGTGCGGCACTATGTACACCTCACTGGGTGATGTAAATGCAAGGAAATTTCATCTGCTTAGTTCTTCTGGGAAAATCTATTCCTATGTGCATCAGTAACAGAACCATGTAAACAAACTCTTACTTAATAAACTGATTTACTAAGTCAAAATACTAATTTTTAAAGTCCCAGAACAATTGATAAATAAGATAAGAGAGGAGGTAACATGGAAAAGCTGATCATTGTCCTCCAAAGCCAAGAATCAGTACCCATTTTCAGCTCTGAGGATGGCCTCTGTAAAACAAAGAATGTTTCAAGGTTCAGAAACATCAGGTGCAACTTCTTCACTGTTGTGAGCGACAGAGATGAGGAAATGATAGTTGTCATCAGCTATGTTGATAGAAAAAACAACTAGATATAAGGGATATAAAAATGCACCTGAACCTATCTATCTACAACCTGTTCTGACTTATCTATCAGCATTTCTGGATAAAATGAAGTTTAAAGAAGAAAAGTAATAGAAGATCAGAGGTAAAAAGTTCTTTAATGAACTGTACACAAACCTGAAAATGTCACTTATGCTAATCAAAATATTGAGGAGAGCTCGCTTCTCAATTCAGGGGTAGCGTGGGGAAATCAAGTGCCCAATTGTCTACCAATGCCTTGAATATCTATTCTGATTTACATCAAGTTTTCTGTCAGTTCTGCTCTTACATGCATGTATGAAGTTAGGGGCAACGGCAAGCACATTTTTTTTCTCCGTGTACTGAGAGTTAATGAAACTTTTGTCTACATTCCCAACCGAACAAGCATATAAGGTGTAATAGATTTCTGTGCTAGATCATAAAAAAAATTCTACAAAATGTTCCCATGGAGACAGTAGCGCTCCTCATATTTTTTTTTTTTTTTTTTTGTTTTGTTTGTTGTTTAAAAAAAAAATATGGGGAGGATCACTTGTTTGTTTGGGAACTTTACCTGCTAAGACAAGCACATGCAGAAAACCAAGGCATGACACTAAGCTCTGCAGGTCAGTGCCTGAAGTCCAGGCCTTTTACATTGCAGCTGCAAGTGTAAAAGGAAGCCCTCCCTCCTTGTCTGGCATAGTCCTCAGCAGCATTTTCCTTTCCAGTTTTTGTGAAAACCTGTAGACTTCCACAATGATGGCAATCTTACATGGTGTTTAGCAAGTGTGTTAGTTATCAGGACTGTTTAATATGTGAGGACTCAGAGGTCTGGTACATTCCTGTTGGTAGCACAACACAGTGTCTGGCTGTTTTCCATGCTGTGGTCTGCCACATTTGGCCAGATGGGAGGTTGTGGAGTGGGACAAAGCCATAACACCTTGCTGATTAGGAGTGTGAGTTCCCCTGCCTGTGGGGAATATGGGGAAATGATACATCCGGTGAATTTCGTATGCAATGGAAAAGATTTTGCAGGTCTGCAAAAGCCATCCTTATCTCTGCGGGTCAAGAAAACAGGAGAAAAAGCTAATGTCAGCTGCAGATGACTACCTCTGCTCCAAGTCTGCCTTTGTTACCCCCTGCACGTGCACATCTGTCACTCTTCATTCCTTGTTTTTCTAGGCTATTTCCAGTCTGGTTTCCTTCCTCCTATGAATTGGGTTTCTCTTTGGTCAATTACATCTCCAATACGGATTGGAAAACTTAGTTCTTGTAAATGCCAATCAAAGCTGAAAAGTAAGGCAATATAAAGAGATAATCTTTACAGAATCTCACTGAGGACTGTTAACAGCTTCTTGTGTATCCTTACCATATCCAGTTAAGACTGCATACTTAAGTGAGTGCATCTTTTTTGTTTCCTTACAAGGAACTTACTGCATGCCAGCTGGAGAAAAAAGGGGTCATTGTTAAAAAGTATCACTTAAATAACAGGCATTGGCAGAAATCCCAACCAACTCTTTAGCCTATCTCCCTGGTATCACATGACTGGTTTAATTTGGTTCATGTGATAAGTTTTTGACAATTACTGCTTTTTTGTTGTGATTGAATTGCAAATAAGCAATTGCAGTACAGTCAGCATAGAGTGGTTTTATGATGTCCAGTACTGCATACCAGAGGTTTTATCAAGAGGCCTGGTGTCGGTGTCATTGCTTTTCTGTTTTGGGTTGTTGGTCCTTCCCTCTCGGTGTCTCAGTCTTACACCCCTGAACACCAATTCTCTTCTGCATTGTATTCCTCCTCCATTTGCAGATGCAGTGCTCTACAGTGTTATATCTTTGTTTAGTGTGTTTTATGTCAAGTTACAGCACTTAGCTGTACCTCATACTGGTATCCCAAGTGTCTTTTATTAATCTGCCACGGCAGGTCTGGAACGCATCAAGAATTTGGTAATGGAAAGTAAAAATTACGTAGTCAGTTGGCTTGGCTTTTCCTATGCAATACTAATAAGAAAGAGGGCTGTCTGCAGGTATTACCAAAGGAGGCAGTGGCTTCGGATGACAGAGTAATGGGTGAGGGAAGTCAACAAAAATCCCAGCAGTCCCAGTCACAAAATCCCAGAAGTCAACAAAATCCTAGCACTTCCAGTCAACTACTCACAAGACACTCAACCCCTAAGCAATTCACAGCACTCACGCTGCCCTGATCCCACCTTCACCTTCCATCCTCTTGCTGCTAGAAATGCCAAGTCATGAAGTCTCCTCTTAGGGCTGCTTTCTCTGCTGGGGGAGCAGGGGTGGGGAGGGATTGGAGGGAGGAGACTGTCCCTTTACCTGTGCTGAGGGTGGGTGTCTTCATGCACTCAGAGCAGGGTAAGGGAAGGAGGTATGGTGCAGAATTGGACTCAGCATGCAATTTTAGGGACTTATTACAGTAGGCGAGCCACTTACCTTTCCTGGGCACCCTGACTGCCAGGGGG